GTCACTGCCAATATAACTTTCGGCTACCAACATCTCCAAAAGCTCACAACACAGGCTTTCCAACCAATCATACACGTAATTTCGTCACTTCAGGTTATTTGATAGTATGCATTAAAGTGGACCAATTTTTTCCGTGTGCGTAGCGCCATGAGACTAAACTGTTTAACTCACGACCTAATGAAGAAGTCACACTACAGTCTTCGACCAGTCATTTAAATTTCATTAGGAACTGCAAAGGTTCTTTGAAGATGGTGCACCATTTCCCATGTAACCCGAAAATACACAGTTTGTGAGTTGTACGTTTGAGGAACCTGGTATTTGTAGCTGGTGAATCTAATCGAATCTTTGTGTGGCGAATCGGTTGTCTAGAACTGCTGCCAAAGCCTCAGATACTACCTTTGCAACAGCATCTTCGTCACTCAATCGGACAAACAACACTTGTTGGTAGTCTACGTAACCGCTGTGGGGATGAATAATCTAAAATCCCCAGGTAAAGTCGAAAACCTTTTTCTTGTCCTATGTCAGTCTTTGTTTTTATTCTACCGGGCAAGCACTCTGTTCCTATTTCTTATCGTTACCCAATTATTAATGATAGCTGGTCATGTAGCAGCCGAATGTAGTCCTGAAAGGAACAATAATACACCATTCGTGGTGGTGATCAGGGTTTAAGATAGGGGAGTGTGTAACCTGCCGAGATTAGCACGCTTAGACCCCAAGCACTTATCCTTTGGTCTGATAAAATGTCTACGTCACCAAGTGGACGCAGTACCACGCGATGACTGACAGGTCTGTGGTTCTATTATTTGTAACATCGAGTCAGCGTATGAATGCAGTTTCTGCAGGCTGTGGGTACACTACCATCGCCAATAGCTGCGATACTCTCAGTGGTTTCAAAAGCACTGGAAGCCTTGAGAGGTGATTACGTCTGGCAGCGCCTCTACAGGGTAGACATACACCATGAGGCAAAACACAGTTTCAGAAGAGGTAGATCCTGTGTGACAAATCTGTTACCTGGCTGGAGTGACTAGATATCTTGCCGTGAAATGAATGTTACAATTTGTGTGGTCTCCCTCAAATTCACGGAGGCACTTGACACAGTTTGGCATGACATCCTCCCACGTAAAATAAGTCAGGAGGGTGTTAGTCGCCCACTTCTCTCATGGTTGGAGGATTATCTACACCAAAGAGAATTCTGTGCCTAGCCCAATCGTGTCCGCCCATCTGGGCACAGTTTAGCATCGAAGACATTACAGGGCCTATCCTAAGGCCACTGATGTTTCTGATTATTATAAGTCAGTCCTAAGTTTTCCAAGGTTGTATAGAACGCGTGTAAGACCACACCTTGAAGTGTCAAATATCACTGCCCCTTCGTTACCCAGAAGGGAGTCAAGTCTTTTGGAATGGGTTTAAAGAGGGTTAACAGAGAGCTGGTAGGTCTCCTAGGTGAACTATTCTAACGGCTGAAGAAACTATGTCTTTTCACACCAAGACAACTTCAACTTAGAGGTGACTTAGTTACTGCCTATAAGATTGCAGATGACCAGAATCACCCAAACAAAGGTATTTTACCGTTATGTACTTATGGGCTTCCACTAAGGTTGGCCCATCAGAAGGCAAGGATTTGACTAGGTTCACATTTCTTCTCACTCCGCGTTTGCCGCATATGGAACCCTTTACCAGAACCCATAGAAACTGCATCATCCATGAAAAGCTGTAAGCGGAGGCTGGAAGATCATGTGACGATACAAAGACTGAGTCTAAACGGTCTATCCCTTAAAATTCACACACCGCTAGTGTGTATATTCTTAATTTTTTATTTTACTACAGTCCATTCTCTCTTGTCTTACTGTTCTAACTCATCTGTCTATTTATTCACTCATTTTAATATACATACATACTGATTTCCAATTTCATTATCTGTTTGATTGTACGTTTTCTATTTTCCGAGTCCACACAATCTACACTAATCACACTTATCATTACTATCTCTCCCTCTGACCCCACCAGATGACTGACGGGTGGAAGGATCAATTCCACTCACAGTGGCGAAACGGTTTCAACACGCAGCATACTGCCCTTGGAGTCAGCCAAAGCCACGACAGTCGAGTGGCAGGACGAACAGATTTCAGATTCAGATTTATTGGTTGAGGATAGGAGGCTTGTAGTCTCTGCTAATCATTTTCTAGTAAATTTCTGTGGTTGTCCGAAAGCTTCCTGAATAAATCAACTGACGTTGCAGACACAACTTCCTCTAGGAGTTGGTTCCAAGAGTTTATGACTCCGTGCGAGGACCAGTACTAATCAGCAATATGATTTCTTCTTGGCTTTTGAATTCCCTGCTATGCCCTCTAAGGTGTTCGGACCTGGTAGGAAGGAAAAGAAAGAATAGGTCAGGCCCGTAGTCATTATTTAAAATTTCAAACATTGTAATTAAGTCTCCTCTCTGCCCACGGTATGATAGGAAGAAGAGATTCAAACTGTCTAGTCTTTCCTCATATGATAAGTTAGCCATGTCGAGAATAATACATGTTGCCTTCCTTTGAATCCTTTCTATAATATGTGAGTCACCTTTAGACAAGGACTGGCTGTCTGGATAAAGTTTTCCGGTCTTGACCTCACCAGAAATGTATACCAGGAGGTGAACATATCTTTGGTGATTCTAGTAAAGTCTGTGTGAATCGCTTGTAAGGATCTGAAACTACGTGTAGCCAACGTGCAATAGCGTGCTGTAGTTTTTAAGACTTGACTTACTACGACACCTAAATCCAAATGAGTTCGAAATGATGGGAGTGTTATTCCATCTAGTTCGCGGGAACTGATCCTTGCGTGTCCAATGCGCATGGTTGCGCATTTTGCTACATTGATAGGGAGCATCCATTCTCTGGACCACTCTGACTACTTGTCGAGGTCCTCTTGCAACGTGGGCGTATCACTGTCGCCCTTCAGCTCTCTGTAGATTTTTAGGTCATCTTTATGTAGGACCATAGGAGAATTGGTTAGCAAAGATAACTCATCTACATGCAAAACAAATGGGAGAGGTTCGAGTACAGTGCCCTGTGGCACTCCGCTAAGCACTGCTGTTCAGAATAAGAGTTTTGAGTTGATTGTGACCCTCTGCTTCCTATCTATGAAGAATTCCTTAATGCAGATTAGTAAGTTGCCTTTGACGCCAAGACCTCCCAACTTCCTGAGTAGTCCTTTGTGAGGCAATTTATCGAAGGGTTCACTGAAGTCTGTGAAGACGACTTCGATGGGTCTTCTGTTGTCCCCTGATTTGACCCGGCTTTCTCTTGCGGTGAGAAGATTTGACAGGTGTGAGAGATTTCCTCGGAAGCCACGCTGTACTGCAGATAGGAAATTGTTGTTTTCCAGATATGCCATGATACTTTTCTTGATGATTCTTTCCAGTGCCTTGATTAAATTGCTGGTGAGACTTATAGGCCTGTAGTTTGAAGGGCTTTGAATCGATCCTCCTTTGTGTATGGGGGTTACTATTGCTTGAAGATCGTGGTCAGTGGGGAGGCTACGTGAGCTGATAGCACCTTGAGAAGCCTTGTATGAATACCATCAGGACCCATTGATTTACCTGTGTGGGCCTAATGACATGTTAGACTAAGGCTAGCGAAATGCTACATTCCAGCAGTTTATGATCAGAGTTGTTGTCTGAAGATGGTGTTATTAAGCTTGTGCAGTCAACTGTTGGGGCATTGAAGTCGCCGACTACGAGACTCCGACATTTCGATGTCCAGGAGCCTAGCATCTCTATTAAGAAGTCATCTGCACTGCAGTCAGGACTGCGGTATATAGCAGTGAGATCAATATCTTAGCCAACGCGTTTAATTCTGCAGCGTAGAAGTTCGCACGATTCACTTCCGTGAAGGAGTGCTTCGATGCCACACACGCTTAAGCATTTCTTGAGGTAGATGACTACGCCACCTCCTTTGTTGCTTAGTCGGTCCACCCTATGCGCTTTGAAGTTTGGCAGGTTAACTCCGTCATCAGTGATATCGGGTGTGAGCAATCATATTACTCAGTTAAGTCCATTTGTTCAACAGCCTGCGGGGGTCTGCGTAGCAAACTGTCAATTCAGTTTGGTGCTCCAGCGGCCTACCCGCAGGGGTTTCGGGATCATCAAACTTCGAAGTTTGACAACTCGAAAGCCTTTAATCTTAATGTTTTCACTGTTTCAGCGTCGTTCACTTAATTCTAGGGCCTTAGACTGCCTTTTGTCCCGGTGCGCTAGGTATAAGTCTGCACGAACATGTTGCCTGATCCTTTAAGAGTTTGGGAGTTTCTTAGAATGGCATCCCTCTCTTCTTTGGAGTTGAGTACGACTTTGAGAAGGCGTGCTGGCTGATTCACTGTCGATCCAGGCTTTCGGTCAATTCCATATAATGTGTATGGTTATGCCTGATACTGTTGTTGGCAGTAACTTATCTAAAAGGGGCTTGATCAAGCTAAGGTTATGCTCGAACCTGATCTCCACTTTGTGGAGAATGAGAGACCTATCAGATAGATCAGGTTTGCTTGCCGTGTCTTTCTTCCTCTGCAGCGCAGGTTTCTTTCCGTCCCTCGTGGACAGTGTGGTTGTTATGGTGTCCTATTCTCGCTTATTGCTGGAAACTACATTACGCCATTCATTGGCATCCCTCTCGCTGACCGTATTCGATCGCGTCTGTCTGCTGTCCACCGGTGTGGTTGAAGCTTGATCCACAAGTTTCTGGGAGACTCTAGCTGAAGGTTTCTGACCCCTAGTACTCCTCTTCTTTTTACCAGTCTTTCTATTACCGTCACTAGAGGGCTAATCCGGTGTCGCAGAGGCAGTATGGGCGTCTAGAATGCGATAGGTGCTCTTCTGTGCTGAAGGGCACTCACTCCCTGACAGCGAGCACAGAGAAATCAATTTAGTTTACACTAGCTTGTAAAAATGATATTGGATATTGAAAGTTAGGATTTCGTGATAGGTTTTGTTTAGTCCTGTGAATGCAACATACCTGGCACGTGCAATTTAGTAGCTTGCGTTCTACCCCTGTGGTTTGATGCAAAATGTTGCGGGACGTGGTGATTACGAAGCTCTTCTTACCAGAGAGACGAGGGAACCTCTTATTGACAAACATAAAACAGGAGCCAACTTCGGAAGGCTCCCCCTCGCAAAGCTTATCCGTTCCAGTAAGTTTTTGGTATGCATTATGCTTTTACGAGTTTGACCACGGATTGATATCAGTTAGAGAACCATTGTAAACTAGCCGCGAGTACTGGACAGCTGCTTCATCCTACTCTGGGAATCATCGGCAGTACGCACCCACTGCCAGGGTTTGAACCTTCCGGTTACAAGACAAGCTCGTATACCACTCAGCCATTGGGACTCGATTCAACGGCCAGTGCATAAATTCTAAATTCTACCAATTTGTGATTTAGCGCGACCACCAACCAATGCCATCGGTGGGAAATCCATCCTCACACTTGAATGGTTGAACCCCACTGGTCATGACTTCTCACTCTAGGAAACTCCGTCCTGAGACAATTCACTAGCGAGCATCAGATTAATTTTCAAGAGTTGGTTTGTAAATATTAGATTTGTTTTTACGAGTTTTACGACGGATTGATACCAGTTTAATCCTTACAAACTAACTCTTGAATATATACTGTACTGTTTTAGACTAAGTATGCTTTTAGTTACCCAATCCATTTCTTTGATTTTGTACAGCTTGAATTAAGTATCGAAAATAGGACTTGTATTTACACTGGTCTTGCTAAAATTCCCCTAACAAATGCCTGTTTTGTAATCCGTGCGGACTACTGAATAATTGTAGTAGTATTGTGAAATTCTAGCATCCTATGACGTAAATACGTGAGAATTCAGCTTCATGAAAGTCTTTAAGCAATCCTAGAACAAAAGATACAATTTGATTTGATTGTAACACATCTAATTGGGTGTCGAACGTCATGTGTTGGGGTAGCCGCTATGATTTAACTGCATCGGTTGATATTTGTATAAATGGTTTACACCATGTTCACATCGTAGAATCTCAGTATTATACAGAAATGCTATACACTTCCCTGCCCTTCACTTCTTTCACGCCACCTATTCGTGTCATCACAGTCACTTCCTGCTACGTGTGCTTTCCAGTGGTGGTATTAAGACAGTTATTATTGATTGCACAGTTCAGCGAAACAGTTGACTACATATAAATAATGTGGTTTCAGGGAAGACGGTAGGGATTAAGTTCGTCGTTTGCATATAAGTAGCATGTAGTATTAGAATTGTCTTTAGGGACAAAGAATGGTAGGTTTACTTTTGCAGGAAAGCTAATTTTGTGATGTTTATATGACCTTTATAGACGTGAATCTTGAAAGTAATACATCCAGTCACTTGTTTACTGTTGTGATACATATTTGTAAGCATCTCAGCTCAATCATGACCCTGGGTATCTGGTTGAACGTATGTTTACAATTCATTTCGTAGCAAGGGAAATGGGTTGTGTCATCAGGGATCAGGTAGAACATCCATTGGGAGGCTAATATCTACGTTTAGTCACTGAGCGATCTGCGGAAGTGTTCTTGTTCAGCACCACAACAGTGAGTCCCTGAAGACTCCTTTATTAAATAAACATAAACCCAAACGGAACCTTGTTATGTGATAGTACTGATACTGATGTTAGTCCAGAGTTAAAGAATAGAGAATCGATTATAGAATCTTGAACAGACTTTTAGTGTGGTTTGCTATTCATTTATTCAATATGAGTTCCACCATTATTCTTCACCTCGAAGGTAAAATTTGTTCTCAAGTCGTTTTGGAGTGGATACTATGGTATATTTTATATTAATTCCGCATAGTTTTTGTGTATCCCGTGTACGAAATATCCACAGTTGTACATAAGCACTATTTTTGTAGGTTACAGAAATTTCTGAGCCTACTCAATCTAATAGTCAAACTCGACTTACAAGATCGCAAAGCGTCACCTGTCCACCACCTTACTTTACTTCATCTGAACATATAACCCTCCCAGGGAATACTTTCTACACTTGGTCAAGAGTCTCTCAGCAACCGATTTCTAGGACGCTTAGTGGGCATGTGAACGAGTCCAATGGACTTGTTACAGGAAGTTCTCTACCTGCTGTAACCAGTGTCAATGATTCCACTCCCCTCATCGTACCCAGTACAATTCCTCCACGTACACCCCATGATGTAAGTGCTTTTCCATGTCTTTTAGTGCCGTTTTGTCTAAAAAAAATTCGTAATGTTATGACATTAATAAAGAGTTAGATCAGTAATTATATAGTGTCTTTATTATCACTTCACTTTTAATGCGTCACAAAAGTGTTCTTGAGATGATACCAGTTTTTACCCAGTTTGGGTTTATCCGGAAGTCATTTGAATGTTACTGATGCTGGAAACAATGGATACATTTTTATCCGTTTATTTGGATTCATTATAATTGGTTAAACTCTTGACTCACTTGTGCAATAATTCATAACAAACCATCTGCTTCTATTTTGCAAGAGTTTGACTGACTACCACCAGTTAGAGTACCAGGGGGTTACTGAACAGCCCACTACTGACTGGCTACAGGATAGAGTTACCTGGTGTTTTGGTGAAATGTCGTGACCAATGAGTTGGATTCAGGGGCGAAGCTCGCTGACAAGACTGGTGGGTGGTAGCGCTTTCCGTCGCGAATTGGCAGAATTCATGATCCATAGGATTCTGTCCCGGTGGCCGAATGATGAATGGACTCGTTTCGCAAATTAAAGCCCCAGAGTTCAATCCCTGATGGAGTAGTAGTAAGTGGGTGTGCTGTTGAAGAGTCTCAAATTAGGACAAAAGAGCTGTCCAGTACTTCCTGGTGTTGTTTCTTTGATTAATGTCAGTTTGTGATCATCTCTTACGGTGTATACTCACATATAAGCAACAAAATTGTAAGTCTAAGGTATGAAACCGTAGAATACATAAATATAACCTGTATCACAGTAAGTGTATTCCTAATAAAATAATCTGAAGTATGCAGCAAGTAGGTTTGACTCTGATTACCGTGTCGCCTACTTTTCCGTACATAATTTAGAACAGGATTGAGAGATAGCAACAGCTGCCTCCCATAAAATCTTTTTAAGAGCCAGCTTCCTTGGTTAACATAGTCCTAGTGGCAGGTATTAATTGAGCCCATGCAAGGTATGATGTGGTCATCTAAACTGTAGTGATTTAATGATTTCAGTTGATGACTTGTAGTTGTTATCAATGTGACACTTCAGGCATAACGGTGATCAATTACCTGATGCCTTGTGTACCGATATTTCCCAATTGCAATACTTTAACAACAGTAGGTAGAATATGCCTCGTCTGCAGTGTACATTAAGTGCTTTGAGTTGTTTTAACCCTGACTTTTCTTTACAAGTAACTAGTGTTTTCCCGTCAATTATTAGGTTCAAAGTTTGAGCATTATTTCTTGCATACTTTTATCAAAGTATTGCTTAATAATAAATTGTATGGACTTGTATTTTGATTTAATTTAAATTTTTATCCCTTTACGTTCCCAGTGGGACAAGGGACTTCAAGCTAGATGCTTGAATTACAGATAAAGAATAAACAGTGAGCAAAAAAGCCAACAAATATATTCACACGTAGGTCAGCTAGTACGTAATAATGGCCAATAATAGTCAGCGTTATTTTAAAAGGGACGGAGTGAATACCACTCCCCATATCACTTCCATCCATCTTAGCTCTCTTAAGACTAATTAAGGTATCCAAAGTAGTTCGTATAGATATATATATATATATATATTTAGATGCTCGGATTGTGTGTTTCATATCATGATTGAAGTTCTTTCAAAACCATCATTGATCTGCATTGTTTACTTTATATTTTACGTCAGGATCAGTGTTCATCAAGTAACATGATTCATAATACAGCTTCCGCAGACGCACGCCTACATATGGTGACAGGTGGTGAGTGTGTTAATTCGTTACCATTTCGTAATGACACACTCTCTGGTTCTTCTATATCTGGTGTCACTCTTCCTCTAACAACGCAATCTTCTGGACCTAGCACTTATGATGCATTTAATCATCGCCCAGTTCATTCATCTGTTCCTCGTCCCACACCACTATCAAAACGATGCACCCAACCAGCAACCAGTGTATCACTGAATTCACAGCCACCAATGGTAAACACTTGTTCCCAACATTTAGGAAGTAATACGCGAAATCCAGTCGTATCTATAGGCGATCCAAACAGAGTAAGTATCGAGAATGATTATCAGAATGGTAATTTCAATTTACAAATATCTTCTGCATTTAAGCTGTTATTTTCATCGTCTTATATACACGTGAATGTAACAGACCAAACACTTGTTTTACACGTTAATAATGTTCGTTATGTTTGGGTCTTTGTTGATGACAGACAACTGTTGTTTGCATATATTTCTATCGTGTAACTAGGTATCTTTGTATTTTGGTAACCGATAAAGTTTCAAGGCAGGTTACCTGTGTTGTAACAATTACAGTAAGGTTCAAACTTACTTTGTGTCGCGTTAGTACATGACTTTGAGAACTAGTATAATATCTGTAGGCAAATTAAATCCTACAGTGGTCACTTTTACCAGTTTTATTGCTGATTATTAATTCTTGAAAAAAGTTGCATTGCAGCAACCCAGTGTGGATTTATGCACCTAACAATGAGCCACACCAGCGTGTACATGTGTGTGTACTGATTCCAAGGGATTGTTTGATGTCCCATTTAAGTAAAAAAAACAACCGTAGTTCGAAGATGCACTTCGCTAGTGGAGATCCAATCACCCAGACCTATGAATCATTTCACATTTGGTTTTCCAATGATTATTATTCCATCAGTGGTCTCAACTACTAGTGTAGTGAAACACGGTTACCTGATCTCTCCTCATTTCTTTTTAAATTTGCCATCAGTCACATTCTGGAGTCGGTCGACTCTGAAAGATGTGCGTGGTGGTGGTGGTTGTATGGATCTGCTAACCGAAAAAAGATTTGTCAACTTCGAGTTTGCAAACGACATCGTCTAACTGTGCAATAACATGCAGGCTGCGCAAATCGTACTTAATCAATTGGTGGTGAATGCTTAAAAGTGTGGTATGTGCGAATTATTGTTACAGCACTGGGGGGAACCTGTACCTGCATTCACCCTTACAAGTGAACTGTTAAGAGTAATCTATAAGTTCATGTATCTCTAGATGGTTGTTTTAGTAACCATCACATGTCGGGATTACAATGCGTCGGTGCGCACAGCCTTGTCCTACACCTGTAAAATTTAGCCTCCGAGCTGAGGATCAGTGGCGACTCTCTGTGCATTGGATCGCCAATGCCTTTGCAGATTGGTTTGCATCCAGGAGTGTTATCATCCACAACTCAGCAGTGGATTCTAGACTTCGTGAGAACATCGCTTATTGATAAGCAGATATATCCAGCTGGTTAAGGAAAGTATTATACAGTCCTTTCTGTGTTTTTATAAAGCTACTGAATATCTTATCATATATGTACATCTCAAAATTCATATTCCTCTTTATTTTAAACAGTTGGCAACCTCTTCAGCTGCCAATAGGATTGATGAAGAAATTATGAATCCTGCTTCCACGGATGATAATCTCCTATGGGGTCGTATCGCTCGAAACTCATCAGGAGATTTAAGATTTCCCGGCATCAATCGCACTTTTAAAAGTGCTTATTCAGTCTTGAGGCAAATTTATCAATCGGCTATGGCTCAAGACAGTTTGACTTTACAGGTAGGTTTTTCATAGTTTATATTGATTGATTTGTTAATATGAGTAGTAAATATTTTCAGCCAAGTCATCACTAGTCTATTCTGTACTCTCTCTCCTCTCTGTTCAGACAGTGACCGTAAGCTGACGAATAGTTCCTAACTACCACATTGTATCTTTTACTTCAATAGGTATATAGTCTGAAAATTATCAACCTTGATTTCCAGTGATTCGTTAAGTAATGCGGATTATTGTGATGAAATCTCCGCCAATATTAATCAGAGATCTGCTATTATTATTATTATTGTTCCTTGAGTTCCGAGTGGAATATAGGGTTTAAACAACACATCTCCACTTTGTCCTATCTTCTGCCGTCCTCTTCTGCTTCGACCATGATTACCCACAATCTCTCATCTGCTCCTCTTACTCACATGATCTCCTCCATGTCACCCTAGCAATGACGATCCGCTCATCGCTTCCCTTTCGGGTGCCACTTGAGCAATGGCCTGCATTGTGCGCGACCTCATTTGACTGTCTCCTCAACTCATTTATGCCCAATCCATCTCAATTTCTCCTACATATTTGTTGAGCAAGCGGTTGTTCATTGGTTTTTTCCCAGCCATAATTTCTTGTTGCTAATTCTTCCTGGCCATTTGATCTTTAGTATGGAGTCAGCCAGCCAGCGAAGTGGGCAGCTGTTGATGAAAGTCTGAAACAGGCTGTTGGAAATCCTTTTCGTGACTACTCACGTGCAATGCAAGTTTCTGACCCATATAGAAGAATTGACTGACTGACTGACTGACTTCAGATTTGTGTTGAATAGAATGCGAATGTTGTTGTTTATGCTGCTGAGTGAGTGCAGAATATTTGCAAACTGGTTTCAGATTGATAAAGGTGTATCTTGCCTTTCTGATTCTGGCCTGCTTTGACATCTTCACCCGTTCCGAATGGCTGTAGTGGAAACGACGCTGGCTGCCTAGGTAAGGGAAGGAGACAACCTCAGTCAAATCTCTCCCGTTGATGGTGATTAGTGCTGTTTGTTGTTGCTGTGACGGTTGGTTGGTTGGTTGGTTATCTTCATCACCTCCGTCTCTATTCTATCTTCTCTATGTTCACATGGAGTCGTGTGTTCGCTGTCTGTCTCACCTCTTGGGGAAGTTTGTTGGTTTTCGCCTACCTGTCTGCCTGTAAGTCTTCGAGTCCGTATGACATTCGACATATGTTATCGATGCGTGAAATCCAGATGTTCTAGAGTCTTCTTATCGGTAGTCCATCGTATTCATGTCTTCTCACTCCCCACATCCAGTGTGATGCATAATCCAGTCCACCACAATTAAAAATATCATCGGTGATAATAGGCAGCCAGCATGGCTTTATTGAAGGTGAACTGTCCCAATAATGCCTCAAGTGATAAATGGCTGTGTACTTCTGTGGCTGACTGACTGACTGACTTGAGAAGAGAATGAACAGTCTGAGTATGGAGATGGGATAGGATGGGATTGGGTGTCTAGATGATTGAAGAGATAATTTCTTAGTGAGGATTTGGATGAGAGTTTAGCTTGTTGTAGGGCTTCATAGTGTTTCTGGCGCTGTTGTTGTTGTAGTAGTAACTGAATTTTGTGAAATTTGAGGTAGATAAGTAGGTAGGTGATTGAACCCTTGTAAAATTGACATGACTGGATATATAACTGAATTAATTGTACTGGAATTTGTGATTGTTTCCACTGAACTGAATAACGCTGTCGCCAAAGTTTTTTTGGACAAAGTATCAGTGCAGTTGTGGTTCGTCTAACTTCAGTTAAATGCGTCTCCAGACACAACAGTTTTTTTTATCAATATTATAATTATAATTATCACTGTTATTGTTATTTTCAGTTACCGGCATCCGCGATTCAATGTGAAAATGAGGCAAATATTCGTTCAGAAAACTCACTACCAAATTCGCTACTTAATTCAACTTCAAGAAAAGTGAGTGAATAAAATAATTCTGGGCGTTCCATTGTTTTTCCCTTGAAAAGAATTGACTAATCTGATGGCGAAACGTCCGTGATTAAATGTGTGATCTTAGAAAACACACCAGTGAGGAGGATGTAGTTGACTAACCTGAGCAATTGACTTCCAACCAATTGGGTGCCAGGCTCGACTCCTGTTCCACGGTTATCATTAGCCCTGTCACACACGATAAGTGTATCTCTTAGTGTGTTGCACAACAATAATAATAATAAGAATCGAGAAACCATTCCGTTTGCAAGCTAGAAATCTCCACTTTTCGAAAATATGTACTATACCGTTAAATGCTAGGATTGCACAGTATTCTGACCAGCTTCCAAAATTAGTGTTGCGCCCCACTAGTTTACTTAATTTCGCGCAGTCCACATGGTTTCTTTGGCGTTTAAATTTAGTATTTTTTTGTGTGTGTTCTGTATCACTTCATTCCCCCAAAAATAGAAAAAGTGTCAGGATTTTCTTGATTTTGAAAAATAAAACAACTCCATCACAGGTTGAGATCAATTGGAGAAAACCATTGAAAATGAGAGATAATGTTGACTGTCTCCTCCCCCTCTCTGTCGTAACTTCAAGCTCCTGTTTAGTTTGATTCGTGGTGGGATCATGTGTATACAGTAATGCAGAGTTGATTATATTACAAACTAGAATGTGAAAAACACCTGTCCTAGTAGTGTTCTCTTGCTTTCTCAGCTCTTGTCTAACTTGTGCCAGTGCAGGATATTTATTCTGTGGAAAATACCCGATGGGAACACTAGAGAGGCAGAGAGAATAAAACATGAGCTCAGAAAAGGGTATCTTTTCGTCAATTTTATCTTCAAAACAGTTGTACGTTTGCACTTACAAATATATAAGTTCGCAGTGTTCGCAATCATTATTATTATTATTTTTAATTCAACATAGTAACGTAGGTGACATTGAAGAAAGTAATAATATTCAACTTGATATGGAAGTGTGAAAATGGATTACAAGCGAGGGGGGAGTAGAAACAAAATTACATGGGATTGCAAAGTGGTTGTGTAGTATGTAAAATAGTTTTATGAACGAAGACAGATGGGAATAAGATGAGCATGAAAACAAAGTGAAACAATAGCTTTTATAACTGAAGGTGAGAATGTGAAGGGAATGCAGAAAAACAACACCCAAAGAGCCAAATAAAACTGTGACGGTAGAAGACAAGACACTTGGTAACGGAATGTTTATTTGGTATTTGACATGTCTATATACAGGGAAATTATGTACACCCTGTATGAAATCAATTATTTGCACATATCTTCTGTGTTGTACTACTTCTGCCCCCCCCTCAACCCATCCCCACTTTGTATTATGTTTCTTTGTCTTTTTCTTTTCGTGTCTCACATGTTTTGTCGCAATACACTGTTTCATTTCCTGCCTCTTTAACGTCAAATCCATCTCTCCACTATTTGATATTTTTGTGTGCTGATGAATGTCCCTGTATATACTGCTGACAAATCTTGTCAGTAGAACACGCCACGTAACTAGAATCATAGTTGTCGTCTACTTTTATTCCCTGCAATTTTGCCATCTTTGCAATATGATGAAATGAAAGGCTTTATTTCAGTATGTTCCTATGCTCATCCTACTCACATCTGTCTTTGTTAAAGACTGCTCTACATACTACGCAATTATTCAACTATTCAAGTATTGGTTTGTAGGGATTTGGTTGACTGGTTACAGGACTTCATCATGAGCTGACATTGGTTAGAGAGCTATTGGAAAACCACCTGGGAGTACTGGACAGCTGTTTCGTCCCAGTTTGGGACTCTTCATCAGTACGCACCCACACCACGGGGTTCGAACCAAGGACCCTCTGGTTACAAGGCGAGCTCGTAGACCGTTAAGCCACTGGGACCCGATCCAATGGCCAGTCCATGAATTCGAACTTCTGCCAATTCACAATATAGCGCAACCGCTAGCCATTGGATCGGGTCCCAGTGGCTTAACGGTCTACGAGCTCGCCTTGTAACCAGAAGGTTCTGGGTTCAAACCCTGGTCTGTGCGTGCTGCTGAAGAGTCACAAACTAGAACGAAACAGGTGTACAGTACTCCCAGGTGGTTTTCCCATAGTTCTCTATCCAATGTCAGCTCATGATGAAATCCTGTAACTATTCAACTATTTTTAATCCAATGTAATTTTTGTTTCCATGCTATTTCTACTCTGACTAACTGACTGGTTTCAACATGGTTTCAACCTTGAACAGCTGTGCAGCAGTTCGAGTTGCCACAATCCCTCCATGTAGCACACAAAGCAAGACAAAAGACCACAGAGAGGTTCAAAAGAGAGACAGAGATAATAAACATAAGTATAAAATGATATCATCATTCTATTTCACAGGTTCTCATCAGCTGCAAACTACCTGAAATCACAATGGTTATAAATAATAACATTTCATACTTCAATGTTTGAAAGGTAATAGAGAAAACATAATAAGGTGAACGCATCCGGAATTTGAGTGTTACAATTTATAGTTTAAGTTATCATCAATTTATGTACTATCAAACTATGAAGAAAAAGAAAAAAAAGAAAAAGGTTGGGGGTGTGAGAGAATACAGAAAACAGAAAAATCTAATGAACAGTGTCAACATAGCAACTCAAGAAGGTTGAAGTTCATCAGTTTGAAAACTTGCTTAGTGAGTTGAGCCCACTAGTGTGTATGACTAATCAGTGTAATGAAGGTGATATGGTTACCAAGGTAGTGAGAGATTGACTACACTCTGTGTAGTCATAGTTTGATAGTATATAAATTGATGATAACTTAAACTATAAATTGTAATACTTACATTCCGGATGCGTTTACCTTATAATGCTTTCTCTATTACCTTTCAAACAATGAAGTATGAAATGTTATTATTTATAACCAATCTAATTTCAGGTAGTTTGCAGCAGCTGATGAGAACCTGTGAAATAGAATGATGATATCATTTTATACTGCAAATCTGATCTTTCTTTCTCTATCGAAATTTATCAAGGGAAGCAAATGTATGAAATAAACAGAAGTGTCAGTGAGGGGAAAAGATTAGTAATATGGAAGGACAATAGAATTTTATTGGTTATGATAAATCACAAAGAGTGAATGCATCTGCACCAGCCATCACCGAGGACGATTGTGAGCCATATCACTAATTGTCTCCAGTCACTGATTCTCACCATCCCGAAGACCACAAACACGCACTCTACACCTCCCTACGTGGCTGGCTGACCTAAACTAACTGATGTGGACTTCATTGACTGATGGAGCCATGTTTTGGTTTGATCACCATGTGCTGCTAGTTATTCTCCAACCTGATCCATTCTATGCCCGCTAACATTACCCATTATCGAGGAATGCAGTGAATGGCTAGGTTAGGCATGCGTAACACATGTCCTCCTAACCATCTCTCTCAATCGATGCAACTTCACAACCTCGTCTATTGATTTTCCCTCTCACCTACACAGCACTCGACCGATGCCTGACCTCAATACTGCTCACTCTATTATTCCACCTAACATGGGAGACAGAAAGCAAACACCTATGGTCGGAGACAGTTAGCCAGGCTTTTCATGTCTTCCACTTTCAATGGCCATATCTCGCCCATTGCGGAGCTTACTGCTGAGCAGTACACACGTCCTTTGGCTGACTTCCAGCCGGGTACCATGTCTAGTTGGCATATACGAAATGAGCCTTCTGTATCCATGCTGAGAATTGATTTGTCAACTGGGGCTGATGCAACTTCCCAGCTACCACTGCACTCTTTATCTTTACGCTAGAAATCGATGTAATGCAGTCCTGCAGCCTCATCATCTTACATTTGGCAAGGGGAGCGAATTGCATGCCAAACGTTTGAAGATTGCTTGGTGCTCAAGGCTTGCTCAGAAGGCATTACATTCTGTCAGCGGAGTACTCAATATTTACTCCTTCAAACTTTCGTCTGATGTCGAGAAATTCTTGACTGGAAAGTGAATGGCATGTTGTTGAGTTATTCAAAAGACTATATGAATGTGAATTACTATTTGGATTCATTTATTCTAATGTATTTGAATAGCCTAGCAACATGTCCTTTAATCTCTTCTTGTTAGTATGTTGAATTAACTGATAATAGTAATAATGATAATAATAATTGTGAACTATGCGAACTTATGCATAAGAATGCGATTATGCATCATTGTTGAGAATGAAATCGCTAAGAGGTGTATTGATTTACAGGTTTTGGTCACGAGTAGTTGACATCAGTTAGCGGGGGGGCGGGGCGGGGGAAGATCGAAAAACCTGGATGTTACTGAACAGTTGTTTCGTCGTAATCTGTGGGACTCTTCAACATCCTGTCTGTTTGTCAAGCGATTTCTCATATCTCTCAGTTAATGCCATCGTAGCAAACTGTCTGAGCTTAGCTATCTATGGTTAGAATACAATTGATTCGTCTTTCAACACAAATGTTACATTAGTGTACAACCATACAATGGGTATAGAAACATTTTTGTGAGAGAGAGCAAAAAAAGGCGGACAGCTTACTTAAACGGTATTGACATCGTCTAAAGTGAAATTTTTTAATGTAAGTTATGTTCGCGCATGTAGTAGTAGTAGTAGTAGTGGGTGTGATACAGACAATGTGTTTCAACTGTCTATGATTCTCACATATTCTCACAGTTCAATACTGCATTAGCAACAGAATACTACGTGTGTGTGTATTTGAACATTCTATTTCATGTCGTTTAATGCAAACCAAAATGACACGTTCAGTGATTGACTGACGAATATAAACTGTAGATATATAAACAGTGATTTGTTCAATGAAAAATATCCCTTGGCGTCCGCGTCTTGCCTTCTGTTGTTACTGTAGTAGTATTACTCTAGCCCCAGGATGGGATAGTGAATACGTGAACACCTTGAGCAGCAATCTTCGTATGTTTGCCATGCGATTCGCCCCTGTAAAATGTAAGATGCTGCTACAGGACTGGCCTACGTCAACTCCTAGCTTAGTGATAGGGAGTGAAGTGGTAGAACATGTTGACCACTTCACCTATTTGGGAAGTTGTATCAGCACCAACGGATTGATTGGTGACGAAATCGCAACACGGATCTAAAAAGCTCGGGCTGCTTTCGCTAACTTACACCGTCTCTGGCGTAGGCATGACATCCGGCTATCAACCAAGGGACGTGTGTACTGCTGAGCAGTTCGCCCCGTCCTTCTCTATGGCTCTGAAACATGGTCAATACGAGTTGAAGATATGAAAAGGTTGACTGTTTTTGATCATAGATGTCTACGATCTCTTTCTCACGTTAGGTGGTATAATAAGGTAATGTTGACGTTAGGCGTAGAGTGTTGGGCAAGGAGGGAAAATCAATCGACGAGGCTATAAAGTTACATAGATTGAGATGGCTAGGTCACGTGCTGCGCATGCCTAACCATCGCCTCCCCCGACGGACGGGCATTACTAGCTGATATAGGTGCAGGTTGGAAAAGAGTAAGCGGTGGCCAAACAAAAACATAGCATCAATCCATGAAATCCTTGACAGTTAAACTGAGTCAGGTAGGGAGATTCAGACTTCCGGGTTGGGGCCCTCGGGACTCTAAGAATCAATGGCTGGAGACAATAGGTGACATGGCTCAAAATCGTTGTCAATGGCGCAGATGTATTCAGTCTCTTTAACCTTCATATTCCTTTCTACCATTACTCATTCTGTTTCACTCTTATACTTGTCACAACTCTATTGATTCTCTTCACTCATCTTCTTGTCTACGTTTGTGTACTCTTTGGGACGTGGCAACTCGAACTGCTGCACTTCGGTGCCAAGTTCTATGTTGAATCCAGACAGACAGTGAATACGTGACTAGTCATGCAGCAAAGTGACGACATCCCAGTTGTAAGTAGTCATAGTGGTGTGGGAAGTTGAATGAAGTAGTGTTACTATTATTATTATTATTAATATTATTTTGAGTATTAGTTACTATTAATATTAGTGTTTCTCCATTTTCACAGGGTTTTTATATTTGCCTGTGTTGCCGAGCAACATTTACAAGCAGTGCTTTGTATGAAGACCACCTGGATCGTACCGTTGCTCGAATATTGTATCGTTGTCATCTCTGTCGTGCTTCTTGGACAACAACTTCACGTGAGGCGGTCAGTATCGCTGATGTAAATACAAGTCATCATCATCGTCCGGAGGACAACAGTAGAAATTCTTCTGAATCAACTAGCAGTTCTGTTGTCGCTGCTGGTAGTTCGCATGAAGTCACGCTTGCCATGATCCCGACTACTACTACTAACAACAACAACAACAGTAATAATCATGAAAGCGAAATCTCCTCACGATTTTATTCTGTTCTACCGGGTGGAATTATCAGCGCTAATAATAAATGCGCCATATTTATTCATTTGACATCCGTACACCCGGATAAAAGAAGCGATTGGATTCTAAGACCATCGCTTCTTACAATTTGTCCGTTGGTTACGCCAGCCACATATTTAAATTTAGTAGCACTGACCGCCTCCACTACTACTACTACTGATATACAACCTTCTGATGCAGGGAGTGAGTTGACTCATTTGTTGTTTGTTTTCCCTTTATGTGTGCTGTAACTTAATGCTATGTATGTTTCTGTATTTTTGTTGTTGTGTCCTATGATAGTTATAATGCGTATGCGTGTGCGCGCGTGCGTGTGTCTGCCTGTCTGTCTAAAAAGGTGTTTACAATGTTTTGCATAGATAGACTCATTTGTTATGTAACCAATATCCATATAGGCTGCAGGCGGTGGCATTGAGTCTGATTAATAAGTGCTTTTGGAGGGCTTCGTGTGCGTGTTTACCACTACACTTATTTGGGAAGCTGTAGCAGCCAATGTTGTCAGCAGGTTGATCGCTGACGAAATCACGGCGCGGATACAGAAGGCTCGTTTCGCATATGCTGAATTAACGCTATCTATGGCGTGGACGTGATGTCCGGTTGGCTATTGATCGAAGAACATGTGTACTGCTCAGCAGCCATTGAAATTGGAAGACATGAAAATTCTGGCTAGCTGTCTCCGATCATAGGTGTCTGCTTTCTGTCTCCCATGTTAGGTAGAATAATAGAGTGAGCAATATTGAGGTCAGGCATCGGTCGAGTGCTGTGTAGGTGAGAGGGAAAATCAGTCGACGAGGTTGTGAAGTTACATCGATTGAGAGAGATGGTTAGGAGGAGGACATGTGTTACGCATGCCTAACCTAGCCATTCACTGCATTCCTCGATAATGGGTAATGTTAGCGGGCATAGAATGGATCAGGTTGGAGAATAGCTAGCATATGGTGACCAAACCAAAACACGGCTCCATCAGTCAATGAAGTCCACAACAGTTAGTTTAGGTCAGCCAGTCAGTCAGCCGGCCACGTTGTAGGGAGGTGTAGAGTGCGTGTTTGTGGTCTTCGGGATGGTGAGAATCAGTGACTGGAGACAATTAGTGATATGGCTCACAATCGTCCTCGGTGATGGCTGGTGCAGATGCATTCAGTCTTTGTGATTTATCGTAAGCAGTAAAATTCTATTGTTCTTTCATATTACTAGTCTTTTCCCCTCACTGACACTTGTTGTTCATTATCTCTGTGTCTTTTGAACCTCTCTGTGCTCTTTTGTCTTGCTTTGTTTGCTGAATGGAGTGTGGCAACTCGAACTGCTGCACAGCTGTGCAATGTTCTGTGTTAATTCGAGTCACTTATTAATAAGTGGTCGTTGAGATTGTGTATTTCGGTTAAAAGTAATTCACACAATTCTTTTCTTTAGTAAACTTGAACAAAGCATGAATGACATATGTACCACCGGGATACTATGAACTCATCTCTCATTATTTTGGGGATTCTTCTCACACCACTGGCTGCAATCTGAAGAAACCAGAAGTGTATAGATTTGAGTAAAGATTTAAACATACTGTTTACACGAAGGATAAGAAGTAATTGGTAGCACTTCAGTGGTAATTAGTACTCTGGAGTGATGTAAGTTGTTGAGTAACTAAGAGTGAAAAGGATTGACTATTTTTGAAAAAATTGGATGACTCTGGTGCGTCGGTGACACAGCGGTAGAATGCTCCCCAGCTACGCATGTGGTCCGGGGTTCGATCCACGGGCACTGACGACGCACTCTTTTACCTTTCAAAGGCAGTAATACGACTGGTAGGTAAACGGGGAAGGTGTAGGGGTGCATGAGGCTGGCTATCAACCCTATCCCGTAAAAATAATTACCACCCAAATAGAATAAAATAAATACTATCGAAACTTCCAGTCTCTAGCTTGAGGCCCTGTGTTCCACTTGGAAAAAAATCTTGTAAAAAGTATGTTTAAATCTTTATTGTAATTTACACTTTTGGATTGTTCAAGTTGTAGCCAGTTGAAGAGGATTCGCGAAAAGATAAATAAATGTATTACTGTTCTAGACCTACTGCTCAATAAATATGTAGAAAGCGAATGCAGATGGATTGGGCACACGTTGAGGAGACCATCGTCGAATGACGTCGCATGCCAGGCGTTCGAGTGGAAAGTGAGCGTACCATGTAGGAGACCAAAGACTATGACCAATCGTGCGACAAGCCAAAGAAGACCACAGGGAATAGGAAAAAGTGAAGAAGTGCTGTTGAAGCCCTATGTTCCACTCGGAACCCAAGGGAACAATAATTAATAATGATAATAATAATTGATATTCTGTATTCTCATATTAGTGTTCAATAGGTGATCAGACGAGTTAATAAAATCGTCTTCACCACGAGCAGTGATCACTTCAAGTAACCACACTATCAATTGACCAGTGAGACTGATTTATCACATCAGTTCCAGTCTAATTAAATCAAATACTGCAGTCAATAGACGCAAGTCTAACGTTTGCAGTGATTATGGACCAGGTTTTCAATGTTGATTATAAATCAACGAGTAATAAAACTCAACTGATCACCACTCATCGAACATTCGAAAAATGCGATTTTCAATCATGTCAGAAACATTATTTATTTTAATGAACTGTCGTCGAAATTTGACAGAATAGTTCTAAAATAGTTGGGCGCCGAGTGAGAAGTAGACATTCGTAAAAATTACATTTGTAAAATCTCAGCGAGATTGAAATGAGTAATTCAAACGTTTCGTTCGGAAATCTGGTCCGAACTTCTTCAGGGAAATTAATCGAAATTAACGTAACAGAGGTTTATATAAGTAAAAGGAACATCACATGTCTTTAAAAACTTTGTCCAATCATGAGTCATTCAACAAGTATAATAAACAAAATTTTATGAGCTGTGATCAAAGTTTGACCTCGGACTTACAAATATCGGTCTGCCTTTGTTAAACACTTTAAACAGAGTGTGTATGTGTGTGTGGGTAAACAGTTGCAAAACATTTCTTAACGTTTCCATTAGAAGATATGGACAGTCGAGAATTTTGAACAAGTATTAATAATTAGTGATACATATCCATTTTTTATTTATTAATGAGGATTCCCCATGCATCAGATAACATCAGGCCTTCATGTCCGTTCAAACTGTTAGTACCTAGAATTTTATGATTAGACGTATTTTCAAAATTATGGTGTTTAGGATTAGAGTTTAGTGGAAGCACCCTGTCGGACTTATTGCTTTGTCTTCTTTCTGAAGATTGAGCTGCTTTATTCAACCTACTGGAGTTGTCAAGTGACTCGACAGCTACGGATTTAGGATATGCATTCTGTTGCAGACAAGTTCGGACCAGATATCCGAACGAAACGTTGGAATTACTCATTTCAATCTCGCTGAGATTTTACAAATATAATTTTTTACAAATTATTTATTTTATATTGTATATTTCATAAAATCAGGATTTTCATTACGATAACAAGACAGAGGAGGTATGGCAGTCTCATCACTTTTCCTTGTGATGTGAACTCATCACTGCCTCAGTCCAACGACCTTTTAAATTGATTATTCAGCACTTTTGCTTAATTTTCGTACATGCCTGACTAACTGACTGACAAGTGATTAATCGTCAGGTATGATTTATTGTAAATGTTACATGGATGAATAGTACTCGTTGTTTTCAAATGATTATTGAGAGAGAGAGAGAGAGTGAGTGAGTGAGTGAGTGAGAGTTAATACAATTTTATCTTTTGCCTGAGCAGTGTTCATCATTCAAACAACTACTACACTAACTAACTAACACTAATCAGTGCAATTGTGTGATTACTGGTCGGTCAATTAGTAATCAGGCCAGTTTAGTCTTACTTGATAAAAAAATATTCAGTTAATGTGGACAATATAAGGTGGTGGAATACAAGCAATTCTAATGGCTTTTAGAAAAATTAAATAATAACTAATACCTGTTACCCGTTGCACACAAGAGGATGAATGGCACACTCGTCGTCCAAGTAAGTGGTCCAGTGGATGATAACACTTTAGTCTTTGTAACTATGGCTACTGGGTGGGTGGGTTCAAGCCTCCTCAGTGGAGGGAACACCATCACTCTCTGAGGAGGGATGCAGGTACAGTCAGTTGATGAGTCAGTCCCAAATAGGACGAAATGGTGTGTGTGTGGGTAGGTGGGTGGAGGTGGATGGGTTCCACTGCTAGTCACCATCATTCACCAAATCACTTCAAATTTTTAGCCAAGTTTGGAAATACTAAAGTTGTTAGTAATTATGAACATGTGAATGCCTGAAATCTACTATGCTATGCTTTCATGCCATTAATCCAAGGTTATTGTTAAATGCATAAGATGTTCCATCATTGGCGACAATCAGGGAGAATCCCAAGGCCTAGGTGAAAGAAAACACATAGATAGTTAAGAACGCCGGTACTTCAGATGGGCAGTAATAAGTGTGTTCGGGACAATAAATACATCAATGCTATTATAAAGTGATTTTGTATCGCTCCATCTAAGATCTCCAACCACTGACCTTTATTAACGTCAAACGTTGACAGCGGCAACAGTAAAGACACGACTGGTTGTAGGTTAGATTACGAACTGACGTCATTTGCAAGACTATCGGAAACCAGTGTGTCAACTGTTCAAATCGGGCAAGATCCTGAACCTAGTTCTGCTGGCAGAAAACTAATCCCTGTCTCCGATTACTATGTACGGTAACCAACTCGAAAATACCAGAAAACAGATCGGCGATTCGTGGATTGTTTATTTCTCCACTGAAAAATTTACCAGGACTACAGGGTTACTGCAGCACACATCACAATATTTCTGATCGTTTTTTCTCCAGTCCTCTAGCAAACCGCTTATGATTACGTCACGGCCTCCAATGTTTCCCGCCCCCTCTCCGCACCGCGAAAATGGAGATCTGTTTGAATAGACAAACTATATGTTGTTTATTCAATATTGACACAGAGATTTCGACCATCCGTCCCTCTGAGGGCATAGTTGCTTATATTGCCTGTGTCTTAGACTGTGACGAAACAACTGTCCAATACACATTTTGGTTTTCACTGGCTCTTTCAACTGATGTCAGTTTATAATGGAATTTGAGTGTGTATATCGTCTTGAAACCCCAAAATGGTCAGAATGTTAGCGTATATTATCAGATTGAATAAAGTCTCAATTATCAAAAAGAAAAATATTGTGTATACCTACACCTGTTTGTAAGCAGGCTATACTTTGAAAGAAAACAACAATCCATGGTGCTAAGAGTGTAATACTCTACCTTTATTTGTTTTGATAGTGTGGAAAATTCCCATATTATGAATTAAAAGTCAATCTGAACGAAGAATATTCTTTTCAATAATTTCTCTTCAGGTTCTTACAATTATAAAATATATTTGTTGTCGTTACAAAAAAGGCCAGTTATGCGGCAGATACATTTGTTCAAGTATTGGTTTGGTAGGGATTTTGTTTAATTGCATGGAGGATTTCATCATGAGCTCGCCTTGTAACTAGAAGGTCCTGGGTTCGAATCCCGGTGGGCGCGTACTGCTGAAGAGTCCCAAACTAGGACGAAACAGCTGTCCAGTACTCCCAGGTTTTCCAGTGGTTCTCTAACTGATGTCAGCTCATCATGAAATCCTCCATGCAAAGATACATTTTTTAACGTAGAATAACAGATTGGCAGTTATGGGGTGTCAAAATAAATAGTCGTATTTGTGTGACAAACGTGCTAGGCTGAATTCGATTATTGTAAAACGGGAGACAATGGTGATTAATCATAATAGATTTGTAGAGTGTGGGGTAGGAAAATTGACAAGTGAGTTCAAGGTTATAAAAGGTGTCAGGTGAGTGGCTAGTACAAAGTGGTCTGTGTTAAACAGGAGATAGTAAGACTGCAATGGGACCACTTTGTACTAGCCACTCACCTGACACCTTTTATAACCTTGGACTCACTTGTCAATTTTCCTACCCCACACTCTACAAATCTATTATGATTAATCACCATTGTCTCCCGTTTTACAATAATCGAATTCAGCCTAGCACGTTTGTCACACAAATACGACTATTTATTTTGACACCCCATAACTGCCAATCTGTTATTCTACGTTAAAAAATGTATCTGCCGCATAACTGGCCTTTATTTGTTTGTTGGTTGCAATTGTTGAGTAGTATTCATAATTGTTAATCCCTCCCTCTCTCTCTCTGTCTGTCTTTTGCATTTTTTGCCTTCATTCTCCAATTTCATTTCCCGATTGTTTGTGTTGTTTGTTGTCGTAGATGAGCCAGCGCCTACACGTCAAACATCCAATCAACTTGTCAAAACTCATTTGAATGATTTATGTAAATCAAGAGTTTGGAGTGATCTTCAACATAGTCTTAGGTGAGTTTCATCTTGCACTACAACTTTTTCTTCTGATTTTATTATTTTTTTGTGTGTGTTTTACTTATGCTAATACTGTGGTGGGTGTGATACAGACAATGTGTTCCAATGGAATATTATTCTCACCTATTCCCACAGCACAATACTGCATTAGCAACAGAATACTATGTGTGTGTGTGTGTGTGTGTATTTGAACATTCTATTTCATGTCGTTTAATGTAAACCAAAGTTCATCATAAGCTCAGTGATTAGTTAACGAATATAAACCGTATGTATATAAACAGCGGTTTGATCAATTAAAAATATAGCATAACTTCTGTGCTTTGCCCTCCTACTGTTACTGTAGCAGTCAATGAATGAATACATTGATTATTACTTACATGGATAAATTCAGAAAATTGTCAACTGGCACTCCTGATTTTTCTAGTCTATCTAACAACAGCTTCACTAATAATCATGACCAGGATTGAAAGGTGATAATGATAATATTATTATTATTCCCTTGAGTTCCGAGCGGAACATACAACTTCAACAACACATTTCCACTTTGTCCTATCTTCTGCCGTCCTCTTCTGCTTGGACCATGATTGCCCACAGTCTCTCATCTCCTCCTCCATGTCCCCCTAACAATGACGACCCACTCGTCGCCGCTTCCCATTGAGATTCCGCCCGAGCAATGGCCTGCATTGTGCGCGACCTCATTTGACTGTCTCCTCAACTCATTTATGCCCAATCCATCTCCATTTTCTCCTACATATTTGTTGAGCGAGCGGCTCTTCGTTGGTTTTTTCCCAGCCATAATTTCTTGTTGCTAATTCTTCCTGGCCATTTGATCTTTAGTATGGAGTCAGCCAGCCAGCGAAGTGGGCAGCTGTTGATGAAAGTCTGAAACAGGCTGTTGGAAATCCTTTTCGTGACTACTCACGTGCAGTGCAAGTCTCTGACCCATATAGAAGAATTGACTGACTGACTGACTGACTTCAGATTTGTGTTGAACAGAAGGCGAATGTTGTTGTTTATGCTGCTGAGTGAGTGCAGAATATTTGCAAACTGGTTTCAGATTGATGAAGGTGTATCTTGCCTCGCTGCGTCTTCCGTTGTAGATCACCTGACACGTGTCACTGTCATATTGTAACAGTAGAAGGCAAGATACGGACGCCAGCGTATATTTTCCATTGATTAAACGGCTGTTTATCTATATACAGTTTATATTTGTTAACCAATCACTGAGCGTGTGACTTTGGTTTACATTGAACGACATAAAATAGAACGTTCAAATACACACACATAGTATTCTGTTACTAATGCAGTATATTGAACTGTGGGAATATATGAGAATAATATTCCTATGGAGCACATTGTCTGTATCTCACCACCACAGTATCATTATTTTGGACAGAGATATCTTCGTATATGCATAAATCATGACTAACAAAGAAGCTGGTTTGTCCCAACCTCTCTCTTCTTTAATGAGTTCTCGATTGGAGGACCACTTGACATTACTGTGCAGGTATGTGTATCCTCCGTCCATGTTACCTCCTCCATGAAATAGTATGGTATCATTGCTTTGTAACTGGAGAACAATATGACCATCTCAATAATTGCTCCAACACATTTGTCCAGTAGGAGTTCGGTTACATCAGCAATTTGAATACTATCAGCATTCAACTCAGGAAGAGTAGACTTCTCTCATTCTTCGGGCTGTAACTGGTGGAGAAAAACGACGTCGTGAAACTCTTCCTGTCAAATAGAATAAGAGCGCCTGTATAGATAAATATATAGAGAGGATTCTTTGCATTCCGTGAAGACAGGAGAAATTAAAGTGGAATTCCCTACACTTTGGCTGATCATATTTCCCGATTTTGCACAAATTGTATCTCTTCACAGATAGAATTCGACGCATTATAGTAGTCCAGATTCTCTATTCTCTGTTTGATTTTTAACTTCAATTTGCATGGTTTCATTGAAGGTGAACTGTTGAAATAATGCCTCAAGTGATGAATGGCTGTGTACTTCTGTGGCTGACTGACTGACTGACTTGAGAAGAGAATGAACAGTCTGAGTATGGAGATGGGATAGGATGGGATTGGGTGTCTAGATGATTGGAGAGATAATTTCTCAGTGAGGATTTGGATGAGAGTTTAGCTTGTTGTAAGGCTTCATAGTGTTTCTGGCGCTGTTGTTGTTGTAGTAGTAACTGAATTTTGTGAAATTTGAGGTAGATAAGTAGGTAGATGATTAAAACCTTGTAAAATTGACATGACTTGATATATAACTGAATTAATTGTACTGGAATTTGTGATTGTTTCCATTGTTTTGAATATGGCTGATCACGTGGCGATTTCCCTTTTTTGATGCAGTGTCACCTTCATCCGGTGGTTATCTAGGGTGTTTCAGTGCATTGGCCAAAATATACCAGCACAATCTCGTGGCAATTCAATAGTAGTATGCATTTGGTTTTTTTACTAGCCACCTCCTTCAATCCGCTAGTTATATTGCTCAGCGCAGATATGAGTATCAAGCAACGTTATCTAATAAAAGTGCCGCAAATGTAACACAGTTCAAGAATATATACGCCAGAAAAGAAGTTTTGATGCAAAACTTCCCTTTAAAAGCTTGCGAAAGAAATATATCGGTGAACCACCATAGCAACAGGTCAAGAAGCCACAATCCTCTGGGATATTCAATAAAGTCATTCATCATCATGATCGGTGTGGATATCTTCGCTCACGTCTATGTCCCCTTGACCAGGTATTGATCTAGTTATCGTTATCACTCACTCATACGCCATTAGCTGTCGTATAATGTTGTTGGCGTTAGTCGAGCGGTATGAATGATCGGCTTGTTCGTTTCCAGTATCAGCGTCCTTGTTGTGCTCTATTTCAAGCTCTCATTGTTTTTACAAAAGTCTACAATGGTCTGTTGGAGATGCTTTTAATGACGTACCGAGTGTGTGGAGCATAAGAAAGCTTTGAATCTCCATGCCGCCTGTCGTACTGGTATTCAAAAAGTATGAGCATCATATTTAGCAAACAAGCTTTCTTTTCACCGATGTTTCTCAGTACTGTATCAAGAATATTACTTGAAGAGATTACACAGCATACCTTGAATATAGTTCCCCCACATATTTAGCACTCATTGTCAGTATCAGAGTGTTAATTCACACTTGAAACACGCCGCCACTCTAAGTCAGTTACTGAAAAGCTGGCTTAGCCCTGTTTATTTAGTTTATCAATACGATTGTTGTCTGCGACAGCAACTGTTCAGTCTCCTACTTTCAATAAGAAATGTGAATTGGAAGTGTGTGTGGCTAGTCATTACTTCCCGGCTGCTGACATAATGGAAATTGATTTCTTCTTGAGATAATTCAAACAGACCGAGCACTAGTATTGTGTTACCGCAGAGCTCAGAAGACAACTACTTGAGACTGATCATAAACGACCCGTGTGAAGTGGTTTTTTTGAGTTACATCTGCAAGATAAATCGAGATGTAGAATTTTTGGGATCGAATTTTTTACAACTCCCGTTCTCCATAGCAGGGAGGCAGTATAGCTAGCTAGCTTGCTGGTCATCTGAGGGAAACACGCTACTTCTGCTACATGTCTATTCGATAGCAGTATAACTTCGGCCAGAAACCCCGAACATAATGTAGACAATTTACACTATAATGTCACTGCTTTTAGTCTAACAATAATAATAATAATTTGTTTTATTCCAGAAACAGTACCAGTGGTACAGTGTGGAATTTTCAGCACATATCTACAATATTGCATCTAATCTTACCAAACATTTAAAAGGAGTATTTCAAAAAATAAATATTAAAACAAAAAAATGCGAAAAAATACCAAGAAGTAGAAAGGAAAATAAACAACATACAATAATATCTCAGTATTGGGTAGTGGAAGCTATGATATCATTGTGCATGGTGACAGTAAAGCAACAGTCATACAAGAAGTTATGAAATGATATTTAAGAATGTTTATCGCCAAGATGATCAGTTAATTTAGGTTGAAACAACACCAAACAATCATAAAATAACATTTCAGGGTTGTTGTTTTTTATCAGGTCTAAATGCGGTGTTTGTAGTGGTAGTGTGAGTAATCCTGCATAATACAAAGTTTTAAGATGGTGATAATGGCTTTCACAACCAAGATTGTCAGTTAATATTGCAGAACAAAAAACAACCACAAAACTAATAATTACATGATGGTTAATGACAGGACAATTTTGTAATACTCATAGTGCTAATATAGTCGGAACCAGTAGATACACAAAAGAAGGAATAGAGTAAAGTACAAAAAAGTAAGCCAATGTTAATAATTTAGGTAGCTAAGTATGTTTAAGAAGGAGTTCACTATAGAATACAAATAAGAGAGAAATAAAAGAGCCTAAAATTATGTTATTAACAACAAAGCAAGTCATAGGTTTCGCGCTTAACATTGTCTTTGTCACTTAGAACACGCGCCAAATATGTTGTAAACCAAACTACCTTTCTGGCATAGTAGGACATTGCAGGAACATTAGTTCCACTGTTATTTTCCTTTGTATGCTATTCTTGATACTATTGGTAATTACTGTAAAATAGAAATAACCCTACCTCATTTTGATTGTCTTGACGATTATTTTTTTCTTATTGTCCTATTTTAGCAATATATCTGCCCTCGGGAGTCTTGACTTTCTCCAGTCATCATCAACATCATCAGCGTCATCTTCCTCTCAACAAGTTTCCTCCAATCCCGTTGGCAGACTAACTCGAACACATGACGACATAATTGTCGAGACGTTCTCCTCTTTAAGGCGTATTTTTACACCGAGTAGTAGCAACAACAGTGAGAGCAATTTACCTAGCCTCCCGTGTTCAGACAGTGTCTTATATCGTTTAATTCTCAATTGTGCCACTAGCGAAATTTGGCATTCACATCTTTTTCTACCGGAACGGTGTAATGATGAAACCAGAACAATTTGTACTCCTGCTACAACCACAGCAACAACAACAAAAACAGTAAATCATCAAGATGAAAGTAATCCGGTTACTGCTGAAACTAATAATAATAATGTTGGTGGTGCTGCTGTCGAAAATGGTCAAACCAATAACGGTGATAACAGTGGGAATGTTGGCGGTAGTTACAGTGCAATAACTAAAAGTAAGCAGTACTGATGAAGTTAATTTGTTAGGAAATTTTTCCAAAATATTTTATCCTTTTGTATTCTGAGTGGTCTTCATGTTAGAAGTTTCAGTAGCATTATTTATTGGTGTTGCTCTTATTTTACCGGGTGGTGGTGGTGGTGGGGTTATGAGCCTTACATCCAACTCTTCCTCTTTGTCCAGTTTACAAATCGGCTAGCGGGGATGAACCTTTGAGAATACCCATTGCTCTTCAATATCTTTTCAAGAAACTCAAATTCCAATGAAAATATAACTCCAATAAGCTTATCCCTTGTCTTTTTTTTTATACTTTTCTCCCTTGTCTAATTTTTCTCTATCATAGAACTTTACGATACTTGTCTACCTCCATCCGCTCCATCCAATGCTCATCTGAATTGGGCTTTAAACGTGATATTGTCTTCGTATCGTTCATCGCAGTCTTCAACTCCATCATCGTCATCATCATCAGCAGCAGCAGCAACAGCATCAGTGGTTCAATCTTCTGATTCAATCAACCGACGAGGTGACCTTGAAAATAATGATAATTTGCTGCCAATACAAGCGACTAGTAAAAATTTAATGGTCACCTCATCAAGTGATCAACTGCCAGCGCCAGCATCATCATCACAACAACAACAGCAACAACAAAAGCAACAACCATTCGGTGTGTTACGTTGTCTCTTATGCAACTTTCAAACAAATGATAAACAAAAGCTTAAAATACATCTTATGGGTAGTGGTCGAACTGTACTCAATACAAAATGTGGTCTATGTGGTCAGTTATTGAGTATAGTACAATCAGATTTATGTTTGATTAAAGCCCATTTACTGTTACACTTGGGATGTTATTTAATGTGTCCTCAGTGTGGATTTACGGTGAGTTATAATACTTTATTGTTGTTGTTGTTGCTTTTTGTGTTGTGTTCCACCCTCGTACAGACCGAAGGTACTACATATGTAAATGCTGGAATCAATCATGACTAATTAAAAAAAAATATTTTTACTCCTTTACGTTCCTAGTGGAAAATAGGGTGGGCTCCAAGCTTGAAGTTTCGGTAGCAGTGGTGTTTTCATTTTTACGAGATGGGTTTGCTAGCCCAGCCTCATGCCCTCCCTCCTACCTTCCCTCTTTACCAGTGTTATTACTGGCTTAGAGAGGTGAAGGAGTGCATCTTCGGTGGTCGCAGATCAAACCCCGAGCCACATTCGTGGATGACGAGCATTCTACCGCTGTGCCATCGACGCTCACAATTAAGAAATGGCAAAGCTATTAAAATCGAGTGATCCAGGTGAATGGTTGCAGTGGGCTAATCACATTTTGCATAGGTTACTATTGTAGTTAGTTATACAGGAGAAATCGAATTCAGGATTTAGAAAGAAAGTTTTCATATGAACAAATGCACTAAGTGATAATCCGCAACTGTGTAACTGAACCCTGACGCCGCCGCACCCCCTCCCCACTAAACTCTTCAGCTGTTTACTCTCTACGCAATAGTCATTAAGTGGATGAATACTGAAACTTCTGTGAAAGCTATTATGATGGGAGTTATTCTTGCAACCTTTGAAAGTAGGGAACCTGTTCACATTGATATTCTTAAACTTCTTTTAAACACACCTCTTTTTTTCGCCAGCATACTGTTTTTCTCCTAAATGAGCCTGTTTCACTCTGATCGATCGTTTCCAGATCATTGAATTGATTGTTCGTTTAGATCACTAACTGTTTGGTTTCGTCATAAAATAATTTTCATATTCCTCTCCTCAGTCGACTTCTTGTAGCACTGGATTATATATGTATATGCTGTGCGTTTGCAGTGGAACACAGGGCTTGAACCTAGATAGGGTTTAGAACCTGTGACTTATTGATTTAAAGTCGAGTGAATGTCTAATCTAATGATTCAGAACAGTGTCACACTTATGTCAAATTAAAAATTAGTACTTTGAAGAACTGAGTTTTTTGTATAATTCCAAGAGTTGATTTGTTTTTCGAGTGTGACGATGGATTGATATCAGTTAAAGTAGCATTGAAAACCAGGGGGGCTGGACAGCTGTTTCATCCTAGTTTACCTCATATCTCTGTTGAATCTCTTTTCCACCCTCTTCTCTTGCTCTGTGTGCTACATGGGGTGTGGCAACTCGAACTGCTGCACATCTGTGCAAAGTTCCATGTGGAAACCAGTCAGTCAGTTTGGGAATTGGCAGCACACATCCACAGGGTTTCGAACCCACAACCTTCCGGTTACAAGGCAAGCTTGTAGACCATTCAGCCACACTGGGACCCGATTCAATGGCCCATGAGTTCTTAATTTTTATATTTTAAAAAACGTTGGTGTGTGGATAGGGACGCCGAGCTGTTGGCAAACACGTTGACCACGAATATCGCTTGTCCCCACGCCAACAGCGTACACCACAGCTACCAGATTTGCAAGCGGCTACTTACACGAGAACGCACAAGTGGTGAGAGGCAGAAGTGTATTTACAAAAGGAATTAATGACCTATGTAGTGTAGGTTAGTGAAGAAACACAAAGTGTATACATGAGCCAGTAACGTAGGCATGAGAAAGAATAATCCGTAAACTATGCGCCTATCCACCCACCTGTCTATACGACAACTGATAGGCTTATTTCCAGACTGGACATTGATCACCATATCACTTATTCACTACTGTGTGTTTAAACGTGAGAGACTGACTACGAAACATTTTCAGTCAGGCCAGAAATCTGCAAAGTGACATATATATATTCTCTGTGGAACCATTTCATGTACAGAGTCGAATTTTGTCATATAGACGCCTAAATAGGATACATAAGTCACTCGATAATGATGTGTTTAGAAACGCGTTCATGGACTGATTTAGCTGGGTCTTGTGTTTTATGGCGTCGCCAAATATGAATACGATTGTTAACTGACGATAATGAATGCTCCTAGTCGATTATTCCCTGACCCCGAATCACGTAAATTCCAGAGGACTCACACAGTAGGGTGTGTGGAGAGAGCTGGCTGCTGGCCAAAGTTGTTAGACAGTAATTGACGTTAGTGTTTATGTCCCCAATATTGGTGGTGAGAAAATGAGAACAAAGGCTTTGCGTAGGCAGATACAGTTAGAATATAGATGATCTGACACAGCCACAAAGAGATGCGAGGTTAACTTTCTGTGAGAAACAACCAATCAAAAGACTGTATTTTCTACTAACAATAATCTACAATAATGTACATTAAAATCAATAAATATGTGTTGGTTTTAGTTAATAAACTATCTGTTGCCTGGCCCTTGCCTCCTGTTGTTACATGTGTACTTCCAAAACAAGCGAGTAAGTAAGAGGTAGAGAGAGTAATCAAGTGGACAAAAATATTATTGATCCAGTCACAAGACTCAAGGTGGGCGTTGACTGTGACTGATTGACTGACTGCATTCTGGATTCTGGCTGACTGACGTCCATCATGTGACAGTACTTGATTTGTTGTTATCTGACTGGTGGTAGACTAATGAGATGAATTGTGCAGGTAAATATTGGAATGTGTGCACAAAGTCCATAGATTTTTCCGACGACATTGTTCTGTTCTTATATGATGTGTGATATGAACACGTGTTGTGCTTCATATAGAGACACTGAGCTAAGGATTTTCAAAATGAACTTTGTGTAACTAACTATTCAGATAACTAGAGTTGTGTATTCTTAATATTGGTAACTGTGTTGTATGCATAACTGTCCTGAAAGTGTGAATGAGTTTTGTTGTTGTTGTTGTTTTTGAGATATGAGTATTACTCATCAGGTGTGTGAATACATTCCATGCATTGTGTTGTAATGTGTACCTTTTCATTGGTGGGTGGAAATATGTATATACATATATATTACGGATTAACCATTAATTTTTACATTGCTAACGAACGAAACTTCAACAACAGAATATGTGTATTAAGGGAATTTAATTGATCGATCTAGTGCTACTGTGGTGTGTACTACTGACAAGATTTATCAGTAGTGTATATACAGAGACTCGTTGATTGGCACAAAAATATCAAACAGTGGACAGATGGATAAACCAGTATATCGTGAGAAAACACGGGAGACACGAAAAGAAGGAGACAAAGAAACAGAATACAAAGTGGGAGTGCCGGGGGGGTGGACAGAAGTAGCACAACACGGAAGATTTGTTTGTGGAAATGACAATGTACAGATAAGGCGTACATCATTTCCCTATGTAGAGGTGTCAGATACTAAATATACATTCCATTATCAAGTAAGTGTCTTGTCTTCTCTGGTCACATTTGTTGTCGCTGCCTCCTGACAATGAAGATTGCATGGCCAGCTGCTTCACAAGAAGGAGACATACGGAACTTCTTGCGGGATTTTGATAGCGTCTGTGAGTTAGTTGTTGGTCATCAAAACTTCGACGGGGTAGGCTGTTGTACTGGGGACGCTGCTGAGAGGTAGAGCAAAGGCGGCTCACGATAGTGTGGACTGGTCAGATGATAAAGAGACCTGAAAGGTATTGTCTGAAAAATTGGTGGTGTAGTTCGACAGACAGACAGGCACCTGGCAGTGCAACAGTTCCATGCTGTGTGATTAATTAATTAATTAATTGTCACTCTTCATTCTCTGCGTTCCCGGTAGGAAGTAGAGACCTAGTGGCACATATACACAGCACTCGGGTCTCTGGGCATCATCATCATCATCAGCTGACTTGACGACTGCTGTTCGCAAGCTTTGATTTCTTTATGACTTATCTTCCTCATGGTCACCCTCTGACATCCAAATCGTTATCTCTTCCGATCTCGATTCTACTCAAACCCGTAACGTGTTAATTCCGTTGAAGGTCTTTCCAGCATATGCTGTTGAATCCATCATCTATACCCTCCCTTCTGCGTTTTTATCGGGTAAAAGGCTATTGACTGTTTCACTGGACGGCTACCCAAGTTCCTTGCTACTTGTCCTTTCTGACGGGGTGATCTGATCTGTAGTATCATCGAGCGAACTTAGGTGCTGATTGATAAGAGAGAGATATCCGCAGCAGCATGTTAGAAATAGTATTGATGATTTACGCTCTAAGTCTCTGTAGTATATATATGAATTAGGATCTCTCTGTTCTTGTACTGTGAGTGTTGTATATCTCCACAGAATCCATTAAAGTGTACTTGTTATGGTGTGGTGAGTTTATTGTGCAATATATATATATATATATATATATATATACATACATATATATATATATATATATATATATATATAGACGCCAATGCGCGCTTGACTTAGACGTACGCGCTGACCACGAATACAGCTTGATTACGCTAACACTCTATACGACAGTTATCTGTTTCCCTCCAGCCTATTTTACTTAAGCCAGAATACACAACGATATGAGATGTGGAGAGTATATATTTTACAGTAGTGGTTGTAGTAGTTAAATCTCAACTACCCAGTACTGGGCTGGGCTATAAGCGATTCTTATTGTGTAGGAGCTATTGGTACTACCCAGTTAGTTGCCCAGGCTGAAGTATTAGCTGGAGCACGGGACTCGACCCCGGGGCGGAGGGCTCATTAACTGTAAGTTGAGTGCTTAAGCCAGCCAATGTGCCACATCTGCGCATATATACATTGAACGGTATCTGTATAAGTGTAAGTGCAATCGCATGCCAAGAAAAAACAATGATTATATGCATGTATGTGTGTGCGGCCAATAGTGGCGTTGCATGAATGAAGATAGTCAGTCATAAAAGGATATTACCTGACGAAGGTCATATCTTTTGTGAATGAGATTATCCCTGCTGCTGCTGACTTTCACCCAATCCAACCAAAAACATGTGTCATGTCTGACTACAAACCACTTCTCCTGGTTACACATTGCCTTGTTTTCATCAAAGCTGAATAAGAATTTAACTAACTAATTTATGGTTTGTATACTATGGGATGGGATATATTGTTATGCTTATTTTTGCAAGAGTTGGTTTCTACGGATTTCATTTGTTTTCAAAGTTTGACCATGGATTGATTGCAGTTACAGAGAGAGACAGACAGAGAGAAAGAACCTTTGGATACCATCAAGGAGTACTGGTACTGGACAGCTGTTTCGTCAGCCTAGTTAGTTTGTGACTCAGTCAATGGCCGGCCAACCCATGAATTCTAACTTCTACCAATTATTGATTTGGGCACGACAGGCACCAGCTAATATCATTGTTATGCAATAATACTCTGTGAGAGATAGGTGGCAGGCCAGATGATACATATATATATATATATATATCCACATAAATTGATCTATACATTCTGTTCCCTTCACAAATTTCGATAAAGAAAGGAAGACGAAATTTGCTGTATAAAATGATACCATCATTCTATTTCACAGGTTCTCATCAGCTGCCGTAGACTACCTGAAATTACAATGGTTACATAGATGATAATAACATACTTTAATGTTTGAGTGGTAGTAGAGAAGAAAGTAATACTATAAAATTGACTCATCCAAAATGTAAGCAGCATTACAATCTTTAGTTTAAGTTTTCATCGTCAATTTATACGATTTCAAAGTATAAAAGATGGGAGGGGAGGGGTAGGACAGAAAACAGAAAAAATTAATTAACAGGACAGTATTAGCTTGTAGCTTGTTCACATAGCAACTCGAAAAGCAAAAGCGGTTACAGTTTATGAGATTATAAGATTTGTTCAGTGAGTTGAGATCACTGAATTACATGACTAATTAATGTAATCAAAATCAAAATTCAGTTACCAAGGGAGTGAGAGGTTAATCACTTTCATTTGAATGCGTCAATTTTATAGTATTTCCTTCTTCTCTACTACCACTTAAACATTAAATTACGTTATTATCATTATCTATATAACCATTGTAATTTCAGGTAGTCTACGGCAGCTGATGAGAACCTGTGAAATAGAATGACGATGATATCACATTTTATACTGTAAATTGATTTAACTTCGTGTACTTAATACTTAAAAGAAAAAACTTTTCCGCATATTACTTTCTCCTCTTTTTGCTAAATCTTGTTTTCTTTCTTTCTTTCTTTCCTCAAGCCTCCACCATATTTATCTCCGGATTGTGCTGAATTATGCTTACGTGTACATCTCCGCTTTGTATGCTTTCATTTCAATTTGAGAGAAATCTTTCAATGTTGTTATTGTCATGAAAGTGATAATAGAAAAGGCTATAAGTCATTTGAAAATTTATGCCAACACTATTTTGAATATCATTCAAAGCGAATTTATTCATGCTTGATTTGCATAAAACACCAGGAACAATTAGAATCTATTGGGATAAGTAATAATAATAATAATAGTCAACAGCAGAGTACAAGTTTCAGAGATGAAACTGGTAATGGTGGTAACATTGCCGTTATTCCTAATAACACTGTTAAGAACAACAGTTCTGTTCCAATGCCTGTCATCTCGAATAGGAGTTATACCTCTACAATACATCATGTGGGGGGTATGCATGTGATGAATAGGGAAAATATGCTTCTGCAACAACAACTGCAATATTCAACATCTTCACTTCAAACTTCTTCTGGTCCGGATTCTAATATGTTGAATTCATGTAAGTTATCTCACTTGGTGTTTTTTTCCCGTCTCTACTTGTCTGTCTAACGTTGTTGTTGTTGTTGTTTTTTGTCGCTTTATAATGAGATCTTCTGATCTAAATACGTGTCTTTCAATGAATAATGTGTTATACTACTAATCTATGTTTTCTATGTTGCCTGCCTGCCCTCCTTGTATATTTCGAGTTGAACGTATGGGGATTTAAGCTCTAACTGGTGTGTGTGTGCGTTTTGAGTTATGTGGGGGTGGCGGGGGTGGTCAGCTAGCCTCACGCTTAACCTCCCCTCTTTTTCGGGGTTACTAACTATTGGCTAGGCCAGATTTAGGTATACACCAGCTCGGAGTCGAACCTGGACTTATAGCTTAGCTGTAGAGAGAGCGATAGAGAGACAGAGTATTCTATGACTAAGTCACCGCCGATGTTATTAATCTAAGCACACCGTAATTAAATTGCAGATGATGTTTTCCAATCTCTGAGGTGGTAGTTTAACATTGTGACTACTCTGTCAACTTTCAGCCAGTCAGTTACGGGCTTGTATTCCACTACAGCTACCTACTGACAAGATTCGTCAGTAGTGTATACAGAGACGTTGATTGGCACAAAAATATCAAACATTGGAGAGATGGATTTGACGTCGAAGCGAGCAAATGAACCAGTATATTGTGAGAAAACACGGGAGACATGAAAAGAAGGAGACAAAGAGACACAATACAAAGTGGATGTGGGGGCGGGGTTGGACAGAAGTAGCACAACACGGAAGGTCTGTGTAAATGATGGATTTCATACAAGGTGTACATCATGATTCCCCTACATGCGCATATCGAATTGCAAATGTACATCCCGTTGTCAACCACTGTTGTGGTCTGCTGTTCCCCCTTCTAATCCTGGCAACTGGTTGGGCAGTAATATCTCATTGACTCCCACACAATAATCTTGTGTGTTTCATAACTTGTAACATGACAGACAACTTCATCAGGGCAATTGAGTTTCAACAATGATGTGTGACAATTTTGCAGTAGTTTAGAGATTGCCTTTTCCGTCAACTTATTGTCATTGCACTGACCGATGTTTCGATTGAATATAAGCTAGATTGAAGTGATTGCTAGTTTTAACCTTATCGCGACAGCACTATAGTTAGAATAGTTTGATCGAGTGGTGACTGTTTCCCATACTTATTCACATGATCCCCACTGGCGTTCACCGTGGAGGTTTTTGTACACCAGCAGTTGAACTTGAAAACAGCATACATAAAGTCGTCTCTATATGTGCCAATAGATCTTTAATTATCCTCATGGTGGTCAAGTATAGGCGGTCGGCAGGTATTCTCAGTTCACAGCGGCTAGACTTTACTGGCTTATGTGTGTTAGAAGTATGCGTTTTAGACAAGGCGTGTGTGTGACAGACAGTCTAACATTGTGGTGGTAGCCTCGTTGCTTAAACGAAGACATCAATTCATTGATTGTCAGCCTGGGTGTTGAAAGGAGGTAGCATGCAGTCTAAATGAGAATGTAGTCAACACTACATGACATGAGTAGAGTGCATCAGTCTCATATCGAAACCCCCAACAGATTACCATTACCGGACAGATGCACCGCAGTGTTGCTTATCACTGTCTAGTATTTCTTGTGTAATAGTGTGTAATAATTATAATCTCTCCTCTCCAAATATTCATTTTGTTGTTTTCAAAATTACAGGATTAATCATGAGCTGTCTGACAGTAGTTGGAGAACCAGTTGTTTCGTCCTAGTTTGTGAGTCTTCATCAGTATGCATCGGGACTCAGACCCAGCAGTCTCCGGTTGCGAGGTGAACTCGTAGACCCCGATGGGTGAGTTGAGTACTGATGAAGAGTCGCAAACTAGGCTGACGAAACACCTGTCTGGCAGTACTTCCAGCTGGTTTTCCATTGGTTCTCTAACTCTGATATCAATCTGCTCGTGATCAATCTTGTAGCAACCAATCAAATCTCTGCTGGCTAACACTTGATAGTTTTCGAAATCATTTAGACTTGGTTCAAATCATCTGTACCTCTGTACTTTCCCCCGTTTTTATATCATAATTATTTTTTTTTTATATTCGTGTTAAATTTATGTCATCTTCACTTTGTCTTGTTGTCGGCATAAAATGCCTTGTTTAGCTCATGATTTGGCCAACATTTCCCTTCCACGGATAGAAGAACTAACGCTGCTTGAAACATCTTCATTTGAAGAATTAACGTATCATATGAGAGTTGTTCATGGTGCACATACGCCTAGTTCTATCAATTCTTCGACTGCTACTATTCCTCCTCTTTCTGCATGTTCAAGTGAATCTCAGACTGTGTTATTACCATCCGCATTGGTCAACTCAACACAACCAGCGATAATCACTACGAATTTATTAAACACTACAAGTCTACGTCTTCCTTTGTCTTCTTCTGCTTCTTCGTCTACTATTACTACAACTCCTAGTAGTCATAACAACGCTTTTGTAAACATCAATGGACTGCCGGTGGTCTATAGAAATCATGATAATAATTATAATGCCAGTGAAATGCGAGTGAATTCCGATTACTCTACAAGATTTCAGTGCATAGAGTGTATGAGATTTCTTGACACAAGAGAGGAGTATTTTCAGCACTTCAGCGTAAGTGATGAATACTTTTATATTGCAATATGTCTGTGTGTGTGTGTGCGTTGGTTATCGTTTCATTTCATTATGTGCAGTATATATATATATATATTTGTTACGTAATAAATTCTTGGCTGACCTTGTGCCTGTCAGAGTTCCTCGTGGTTTATTCTTTCTGGCCAGTTGTTATCCAGTCTGTCTGTCTGCCTATCTAATTGATGCGGAGGAAGACATGTGTTGACGAAAGTCTGCAGCCTATTTGATGCCAATTCCGTGAAGTACATAGAGGCGCATGGAATTGTGATACCCTAGTGTTATAAAAGTGTGATTTCTTTTCGGATTACTTTAAATGTGCACAGTGATTTCAGAATAGTGATCGACTGTCTTGCTTTCCCCCCCCCCCAATGTATATAACCCTGGCTTCGCTATCGTCATTTATAGTGTACCTCTGGGTTGAAACAGTGATGCCCAGGTCAGATGATGACGCTACAATTAGAAGGGATACAGCAATAAAGCCACTTTGGATATTGAGCAGCACAGTTAGCTACAGCGTACATGAATGCAGTCTTTCAGTTTATTGAGCGAAAATCAATGTTTGGGACAATTGATTATTGAAATATATAACAGAACCACAGAACAAGTATTAGTTTGTAGGGATTTTGTTTAATTGGTTGGAGGATTTCACCAAAAGCTGACATCGGTTAGATAACCATTGGAAAACTTGGGAGTACTGGACAGTTGTGTTTAGTCAGCCTAGTTTGGGAGTCTTCGTCAGTACGCACTCACCGCGAGGGTTCAAAGCCAGGACCTTCTGACAACAGAACAGACTTATAAATGAATTGTTAATTTGTACATTTCATTTAAAATTCTCTAGTGAGACTAGTGACCACACACTATATGACTCTATGGCAAGGATTCTTGAGTGGTTGCCATCCACATACATGACTGAATGACAATTACCATTATGACATGACCCTCAGACCAGTGAGGAGGAGGAGGGAGGCAGTAAAAGCGTGGATGGGTGCTACGCGAAACTTTGAAAGGGAAGCTAACAAAGAAACTGATAGGAATCGGCTTAAAGTAGTGATCATCTTTTGCGATTCATCGTGTGATCGGATAACTGTAAAATTTCACCAATAGTCAACCAATCAGAATGTTTATTTTTTACAGCCCTAGTCAAATTGTCTACCAATTAGAACAATCTATTTCCAGTGTTTAGACAGATTTTAATGTGGTTAAATAAATGTATATAAATATAACGTGCCTTTTGGTAGTTACCTGGGGTTCTTGTGGGAAGTCGTGACCAGTAGGGTGGAGCAGGTCGGGTGTGAGGACAAATACTCGCCGAAGACATTGGCTAGCGGTTGCGCTATATCGTGAATTGGCAAAAGTTAGAATTCATAGGCTGGTCATTGGATCGGGTCCCAGTGGCTTAATGGTCTACGAGCTCGCCAGCCTTGTGACCAGAAGGTTCTGGCTTCGAACCCCGGTGGGTGCGTACTGTTGAAGAGTCGCGAAATAGGCTGATGTAACAGCTGTCCAGTACTCCCAGGTGGTTTTCCAATGGTTCTCTGACCAATGTCACCTCATGATGAAATCCTGAAATATATCATTTGAGTTGTCCATTCCGTCAGGATTATTGCACCCATGCATAAGTCCTACTCGGTCATATCAACTGGCGACAGGTGTATGTATGCATGTAGAGGAAAATGCCGACGAGCACATTTCATTTGGTGTTGGGGGTGGTGATATAGAGATCATAACAGAAATCAGTATGTGTAATAAATTAAAACTAATAAAGGTTTTTATGCCATATTTTTTGTGTATAATCTACAAAAAGTGTGTAAATTCATTGAAGTCACACCTGAATTGACTTAATGCCTCTTGAAGCTGGTTATTGTAGAATAATGAGTGAACACTATTTATAACTTCTTTCTCTCCCCCATCCCCTTTTTCTCTTGATATAAGTATAAAACTTGAGCACTGTGGTGGAGTATGACTCCATTATGGATAAGATTTTATTTTGATAAGTCATACAGTGTTACACAGTAATGTTAACTGATGACCACGTTTTGATCGCAAACTATTGCTCATAATCATATCAAGTTACTCACTCACACAACTTTTTTTCCTTCATTAATATACATGTGTGGAATTGATGATTAGATATTTGAATAAAAATCAATATGAGATAATGTACATTCAGAAATAACAATATGAGTGTTATTAATCAAATACAATTAGATGGGAAGTAAGACGAGTGTTCTTATAGTTATAATAAGTAACTTGTTAGGATGTTGTGATGTGCTTAATTAAAATAGAATTTTAAGATTATTTATTATCCTCCTCTGATCTGACTGGAGGTAATAATATCTTCCAAATATATTTCTGGTAGTTGCATTGAGTCATCTCTGTTGTATGTGTTGGGTGTAGACTCAATGAACAAGGATTCCGTAATCAACCTCTCTCTCCACCTACCTATGTTACTCTTTGGAATTTTAACCCTATCCCACGCTATTGTGTGGTTGTTCGTTAATGCGTGAAGTGCAATTGCTGAGCTTTTTTCTAAATTACTTATCTTTTCAGGGTCAACCATTCTGTCCTTAGCTAAATTATTATGTTCTGATAATCTCACTACTCCTGATCTACTAGTCTAACTGCCCTATGTAGTTGACCTAATTCACAGTCATTGCAAGTTATATTGTGGTGAGAGCTGCCTGTAGCCAAAATTGATGGACAGTAATTTACGTAAAAGTGTATGTCCCCAATATTGGTCTTGAGAAAAATGAGAACAAAGACTTTGCGTAGGCGGATACAGTTAACATATAGATGATCTGACATTCACGAAACAGTCACAAGAGATGTAAGGTTAACTTTTAGTGAGAAAACAACCAATCAGAAGACTGTGTTTGTTTGCTTACAATAATCTATAATATGTACATGAAAATCTATAAATGTGTGATGATTTCCATAATATACAATATGTTGCCTGGCCCTTGTCTTCTGTTGTTACAATGTGGTGAGAGATGGCTGCTAGTCAAATTGGTAGACAGTAATTGACGTCGATGTTTATGTCTCAAATATGAGTCATGTGAAAGCAAGGTCAAAGATGGACAGCAGACTTTGCGTAGACGGATACAATTAGCAGATAGATGATCTGACACTCAAGAGACAGCAACAAAGAGATGAAAGATTAATTTTTAGTGGGAAACAACCAATCAGAAAACTGTGTTTGTCAGCTAACACGAAAATCTATGTGTTGATTTCATTAATAAAGAATCTGTTGCCTGACTCTTGCCTTCTGTCGTTACAACAATATTATGTTGTTTAATCGGGTCAACCTACAGGGTCCTTTAACGTATAAAGCTTTTCCTACCTGAGTGAGTGAGTGAGTGAGTTTGTAGGTTTGAATGCCACCAACCTAATTCCTGCTTTATTAAGAATCCCACCACGTAGGGGCTGGTCTCAGATGTCCCCTCCTTATATAGGGTATAACAGTGGATGACTTATATTCTCTCTTATTTATGTTACCATTATTAGTTTCACAATTTTTATTTTTATTTTCTTCTTCTTTAAATAATCTAGGCTGAACATCGATTAGCTTGTATTCATGAAAACTATTATCGATGTTTTGGTTCGTGTAAACGTCTTTTCCCAAATATTGATGTTTTTCGAGAACATTTATCTGTGTGTCAGCATGCACAAACTATCTTTCAGTCAACATTTGGATATTCCTATACTTATAGTAATGATAATAATGACAATAATAGTAATAATAATAGTAATCAGGATATACTTAATTTATTGGACCCAGAGCATGCAGATGACAACCAACAGCAACAGTCTGTCAGAACCTCTTCATCATGTGAGAATAATGCATCTTCTTCTTCATCTGCTGCTGCTTCTTCCAGTCGTGCATCAGTAATATTTAATCGAAAATTATGCTTCTGTGCATACTGTGGTATTGGACCAAGACGAAATATATCGACGACTGGGGGTATTGTTCATCCTTCGTCTACAATGATAATAACAACCACATCGACAACAACCACAGCAGCAGCAGCAACAACAACAACTACTACTACTACTATGACTTCAACTTCTTATTCCTTGTGTATGGATCATCCACATGGACAGATTACATCTGATCCATTAGTGATGTCTGCAGAATCAAATGGATCGGACGAAGGTATATATATTTCTGGTTTTCATTCGTTTGCCCTTTTCCGACTGGTGGAACATATGAGAGCTTTAAGCTTTCCAAAGTTTAAGCAGCAACTTGAAAATCCCCCTTCATTGAGTCATATAAAAAGGGAGGGTGGGGAAACGTTCAATGAAGAGTTCCTTTTTTCACCGATATCATTCTCAAGTTGTGTACAGTCGCATATATATATATATATATATATATATATATATATATATATATATGATTGTAGTGTGCTCCGGTGACACAGTGGTATAATGCTCGCCAACCAGGCAGGTGTTTCGGGATTCAATCCCCGGCCACCGACGCACTCATTTACCTCGCTAAGCCAGTATATTAAGACTGGTAAGGGAGAAGGTTGGGCATGAGGCAAGATCACCTCATATATCCTTTTAGATGACTGTGAAGTTCCGTGGATGGGTGGCTGAGTTGCTTTAGCTTACTGTTCAGATTCGATCAGATGTTCGAGGATAGAGCTACGGGGCGATCTTTTTTTCTCCTTTGTAAAATTATGAGGGTAAGTGTTTGATTATGCGTTTGGATTGGAAACACTTAGTACGACCGACCTGCCTAGTTCGAAATAAGTGGGTGAATTGATAGATACCATATTGATGAGGTCAGTCAGCAGTGGTAGGGGTTATCCTTCAGGCTCATGCGAATCATTGGTTTCGGGGGAGGGGGGAGTTGGACGAAGTTTCGACCTTGAGGGTTTCCTTCAGTGAGCGGGACAGGTGATTTCTCAGTGTTTTTCTGTCGATGATTCTCTATTGAATTGTATGAATTCAGGTGGAGAGGTATTTTAGGAGTAGAAAGCGTAGGCGGTTTTAGTTATTTAGGCTCCATGGATTTCGTGGTGAAACGTTCTTGTTAGGCATTTCTAAGATATGCAAGTGACTTCGACATGCGTTATCCCATGGTTAGTTATATTTTTATTTGACTCACAGTGCCAGGAGGTAGTCAGAAAGAAACGCAACACTAACCAGTAGGAATCTTTTACCGTTACTGTGTTGAGACACGATGTAGACTGCATGGTTGAGGTCCTCGGGATGCCAACAACTATCTAATTATCGGTCAGAGAACCTGATAGCACTGGATGGACAACTGTTTCTTCCTAGTTTGGATCTCTTCAGGTGTACGCACCCGCCGGAGTGCGACCACTAACGAATGTCATTTGCGAGTATTTGTTCTCATACCCGACATTCTGTACACCGTGCTGTTCATGACTTCCCATTAGAATCCAGGTAACTACCTACCTGAATCGGGCCAGTCGCTAGTGAGCATCAGACAAATACTTGCCGATGACATTGGCTAGTGGTCGCACTATATCATGAAGCTCGAATTCATGGACTGGCCATTTGGTGCCAGTGGCTGAATGGTTTACGAGCTCTCCTTGTCACCAGAAGGTCCTGTGTTTGAACCGTAGCGACCGACCGACTAGTGCCAAACTGACGAAACAGCTGTCTGGCAGTACTTCCAGTTGGTTTTCCAATGGTTCTCTAATCGATATGAGCTCATAATGAAATCCCCTGGAAACCAACGATTGAAAAACTAACTATTAGCTGTCGGTCGGTCGATCGTTGTTGTGTCAGTTGAAAATGTTGTCAACGGTACAGGTGCATTGTCATCTTCCCGACTCTTATCGAATCTTCATAATGCTTCGTAGAACCATAGATGCTGAAAAAAAACAGTTTCAAAGTGATGATGATGAAAGACCACACACACTTACTTGTCTAGTCTGTCTCTTGCGTACTCAGGAATTCTCTGATTAATTGGGTTTTTTTCCTTACATGAGAAAGGAAAGCTTTTATTTGAAATGCAATGCATGCAAAGTTGTTGTTGTTGTTGTTTTTATATATTTTATCATTGTTAACGTTAATTTAATAAAAATCTCAATCTCCCTAACTGTTAGTGGTGTTGTATCACTACTGTACTGTTGTACTATTTTGTTTGTTTGTTGGTTTTTTGTTCAGTCACACAAAGTCGAAATAACGAAATCAATCTAGGGTTACAGAATCAAGATTCAACAGCGGACAATGGTTATATTTCTGATTGTTCTCATGCATCAAACAACAACAACAACAACGCAACTCAACAGCTACAGTTACAGCCACTGCAACAACAACAAGGACAACAACAACAACTACACGAATCTCCTACTAACCGTGAAACTCCATTCACTGCTCGATACTTTACAGATTTGATGAAGTTACAAAATCATGAAAGAGACTCGCACTTTTATGATTGTCGTAACTTTATTGCTTGTCCATGGTGTCATAAACAGTTGTCATTTTCTAAGAAGGAGAATTCTAATGGTACTTATGACCATTTATTATCACATATTCATAAACACCGGTAAGTTATTTTCACTTAGTTATTTTTTTTTAATTTAACAAAACAAAATCTATGCTGAAGAGTTGGTTTGTAGAGGAGTGGGGGGGGGAAGCATTTGATTTGTTTTTCAAGTCTGATCACGGATTGATTGATTGATTGATTGATATCAGTTAGAGAACCATTGCGTAAACGTAAACCAGCTGGGAGTACTGGTATTGAACAGAGCTTTCATCAGCGCAGTTTGTGACTCATCGGCAGTTTGCGCCCACCATCAGGGCTGGAACACGCTTGACCTTCCAGTAGTTACAAGTTAAACTCGTAGACCATTCAGCCTCTCGGAACCAACTTAAAGACCAGCCCATGAATCCTAACTTCTAGCGATTTGCGATTTCTAGTGCGACTGCCAGCCAATATCATGGACCATTGAGTCGAGTTTCTGTGACTGGCTAGCAGTAACTGGAAGATGCTGGATTCGAAACCCGGTGGGTGGGTGGGTGGATGTGCTGTCGATGAGTCCCGGAGTAGGACGAAACGACTATCCAGTACTTCCTGGTTTTCACCGGTTCCCCAAATGATTTCAATGCGTGATTAAACTTGAAAAAAACATCCTCTTATGTTTTCACAGTTTGTCATTTGATTACAGCACACTGAGTGAAGGTAACAACAACAACGTTGGTTTAGTAATAGTTGACTGTCAGTCGGTAGGTCGTGGCTTCGACTCGCATTCCATCTACTTTAACCGGAGCAACTAGACAGTCCATGGAGTAATTTGTCCCCGATAGTTGAGTTGTAATCTAACTGAGTAGAAGACTGAGAAGTGTTATTCAATGTCTGTAATTCATCCTAATAAATAATAAAGATGATTCATGCTGCCACTTCACTCTCCTCGGCGTACAATAACCAACCAACCACTGATCGTTTTGAATATGTGTGTTTAGGTAATCATATAGAGTTCTGTAGTTCAGTGGTCTGCACTTAAATTTCAGGCAGCTCTATGAAATCTAGGTTTCGTGCTTATTCACAATTGTCGGGTGGCGTTATTCTGCTGTCCTGGAGGAAACAATGTTCGCGGTGATGTTCAAGAGACGGTATTGTCGAATCTAAAGAATAGCGACCGTGAAGTGCGAACGCATCAGTGACTTTGAAGGCATACCATCCCTCGTATTGCATAATCTGTCGTTATTAACACCACCCCAGTATGAACGTGGTGCGACACATTGAGGTGCAGATTTTATCCCGATCTCATTTTCAAGTATCGTTTGGATAATGGATGGTTAGAATTATTCTGTGTTATATCTATTCATATTAATTTTCAACGGGGAGTTTAATCATGTCCTTCAGTTCTGAGCAAGTCTGATTACTATCGCAACAGCACCAGAAGCACTCTCATCCAAATGCTCACTAATTAATAAGTTATCTTTTCAATCATCTAGACACCCAATCCCATCCTATACAATCTCCATACTCAGCCTGTTCATTCTCTTCTCAAGTCAGTCAGTCAGTCAGCCACAGAAGTACACAGCCATTTATCACCTGAGGCATTATTTGAACAGTTTACCTTCAATAAAACTATGCAAATTGAAGTTAAAAATAAAACAGAGAATAGAGAATCTGGACTACCATAATATGCATCGAATTCTATCTGTGAAGAAATACAATTTGTGTAAAATCGGGCAATATGATCAGTCAAAGTGTAGGGAATTCCACTTTAACTTGTCCTCTCTTAACGGAATGGAAAGAATCCTATATACACATATACATATATATATATATATAAGCTCTTATTCTATTTGACAGGAAGTGTTCCATGACGTCGTTTTTCTCCATCAATTACATCCCGAAGAATGAGTGAAATCTACTTGTGTGTAGGTACCAGAATCTGCCACATGAAAGCTTCTTCTAAAGAAGAAGATGAAGCGTTGAATGCAGATGGTGTTAAAGTTGCAGCTGTAGGTGAATTTCTACTGGATAAATGAGTTGGAAGAATGATTGAGATGGTTGTATTGTTCTCCAGTTAGCAAGTGATGATCCTGTGGTGTGAGAGCTGGCTACAAGCCAAAATTGTAGACAATAATTTACGTCAGTGTTCACTTCCCGAATCGGGGTCATGAGAAAAACAATAACAAAGTTTAACCTTGAGAAAGTCACCAACGTGGGCAGATACGATTCGCAGATATATGACCGGAGTGTCTAAGAAACGGCCACAAAGAGATGACAGGATAACCTTCAGCAAGAAAACAACCAATCAGAAGACGTCGCTTTTCCGCTAACAATAACGAATAATAATGTACATAAAAATCTATAAATACCTCTTGGTTTTCCCAATAAACAAACTGTTGCCTGGCCCTTGTATTCTGTCGTTACAATTCTACACTGTTTCGGGGGGGAGTTATAATAGACGAAGAGTACACAGACCTACGAAGTACCATTTCAGTCAGTGGTCATGTTCTTTTCTCTGAAAGAAAGACATTCCAGTTTTTTAATTTATCACTCACGCTGCATATATTTATTGATTCTACCAATTATCTACATGAGTCGACATTGTTGTTCATTATTCTTCACACTACGGGTGTCATCAACTTTTCTGATTTTTCACGTGCTTCTTTGCAGCGACTTGACTGATTTCGAAATTGATCACGATTTGACAGCAGTTAGAGCATCTTTGAAAACTAGGGTGTGTTGTACTGCTGTTTTGTTGTTGCTGTTGTTGTTTGTGTACCTTAAGCTTACACACCGATGTCGCTGCCGGGAATTGAACCCGGAACGTTCTGGATACAAGGCGAGCTCCTACACCACTTAACCATTGGGACAAAACCCAGTTGTCCATAAATCTAACTGAAACCATTCGCGATATATGGCGCAGTCGCCAGTCAATATCATCAGCGAGCAGTTAGGCTCACACAACTCGGTGGGACGCTCTGGTCATGACCTCCTCAAGTAAAACGTCGGTCAACTTCATTCTTTAGTGAGTCATTAGTGAACACTAAATTGAATTTCAAGCGTAGGTTTTAGGGATTCGATTGATTTAAACATTGAGCTAGCCTTGTGTGTAGATTGAAGGTCGTGGGTCCTATCCTCGATGAGGACATGGATTTGTACTGTTGCATTTTCCCAAACAAGGAAGAAATGGTTGTCCAATTCTCCTTGGTTCAGGCTTATGGAGAACTAAATGTAACTGGAGTTTAGACTTTAGCTCCTGAGTGGAGCATTGGGCTTTCCAGGCTTGAGCTTTGGAGTTTCAGTAGCAGCAGTGCTGTTTGTTTTTCACGATGTGGGGTTGCTAGCCTCACTCACACCCAACCTTCCCGCATTTTTACCGGGCTTACTACCGGTTAAGCCAGTTCTAGGAGTACGTCAGCTGGGAATCATCGATCGAATCCCGGGCCGCATGGGTGATCAACGAGTATTCTACGTCTGAACCACCGACACACAACAAGGTGAGTTGGTGGAATACCTGGGCGTTTATCCAAGTACCTCTGGCATGCTAAGAAGCGAGCTTTCTGCCGCTTGACCATGTGCGCCCCTACCCTACTTTAATTGTATGTGAGATACTCTTCTATTTTATTGTGCTTAATGTGTTAACCAACCTTACCATGTGTTGTTTTTCCTGTTTTTCAATTTTTTCTAGTATGGCTTCTTGGTGTCTTGCACGAACACGTCAATGGAATGAAAATGCTAAAGGTTAGTTTTATACAAAAACAAACACTTTGTTGATAATTCATTTTGGAATGAATGAAGGATGGCACAGTATACAAATTTTTCACAGTTTGCTGTAGAAATTGGTCTCTTTGATACTCATTTCAGACATCTCAGTAATGAAGCAAATGTGATTATTTTGATATTCCAAAGGGAACCCATGTGAGTGTATGGTCACTCCTACTATGTGTCTATGTAATTAATTGGTCAACTGCGAATTCGATTCTATGTAACGTCGTCGTCGCCTTAAATCGTTAGCCAGAATTTGTCAATGAAGAGCTCGAACCTTATACTGGCGAAACGGACGTCCTATGCGTGTGCATCACTTCGATCACTGGGAAGCTGTTTCGTCCTTCTTCCATAGTAATTGGTCAGTCTACACCCGGGAAATACAAATTGACGTAAATAGACAGTTATGACATCCTGTTTAAATTTCCTTATAGGTGATTGATTGAGTTTCCTAGAATGCTGTGTGTATACGAGCTGTTCACTTTCATAAAAACTTTTGTTTGGCAGTATTTGTTATTCCACATGTCAACCCATATGACTGGTGGTTCTGGCTGACGCTGTGTGCTTTAGGAAGTGTGTGGGTGGTTGTCACTTCCCGATTACCCACACCATGAAAGTTGATTTTACCTTGGAAATACCTCTAAAAGTAAGAGCATTAGTGTTGTGTAACCTCAGAGCCATGGGGACAGCAGTTTCAGACTGGTCATACATGACCTGTTTGAATTTGTGTTTTAGGATTGTGTTCGTGTTAAGAACCTACCACTGTGTAAGGTAAGTCGGGATTTACAGTCTTCAAGGACGATCTTTTCTAGCCTCCTACTTACCACCCAGAGTGGAAAGGCAACATTGTTGACTTGCTGGTCATCTGAGGTAAACTCCTTTCCTGTTGACATCTCTACTCGGTAGCAGCACGACTTCGCCAAACTAGCGTGATCCGTCGTCCGGTCATTGCCAAGGTTGCCACTATCGGTCAGGATACTCCGATATACTTGTTTTTTTTTAGGTTATAGCTTGAAACCACACAGTATTTTCAGTACAATTCTCAGCATGTGATATCGGTAGCCCAAATTTTGCAGGCCGACCATTGGTATCAGGTGTGCGTCGGCAGGGGATCGAACCTCGGACCATGTGCATGGTCGGCGGGAGTCCTAACCACTGTGCCACCGACGCACTTGTTGAGGAATAGGAAATATTTGCCTCTTTTAGTAGTAGTGTAACAAGAGAAGACAAGGGCCAGGCAACAGATGATTTATTAAGGAAATCAAGCATATTTATATATTTTCATGTACATTATTATAGATTAGTTAAGCAAACAAACACAGTCTTCTGATTGGTTGTTTCTCACTTAAAGTTAATCTTTCATCTCTTTGTAACTGTTTCTTGAATGTCAGATCACCTATATGTTAACTGTATCCGCGTACGCAAAGTCTTCTGTGGTCGGTTTTGAATCAATCTTTGTTCACATTTTCTCACGACAAATCTTGAGAACGTAAACACTGACGTCAATTACTGTCTACCAATTTGGCTATTAGACTGCTCTCACCACAGTAGTGTCAATATCATTCACACTTCAATTAGTTCTCTATGCGATTACACTGCTTAATTAATCGGTTTTTCAATGGTCAGATCATCTGAGAGTTTCTGATTGGTAGGAAGTAGAATATATGTTAGGGATGATGATGGTAACGTTTGTGAAGGTCGAAAATCCCCTAAGGTGAATTAAAAATCAAGGTGTCCCACTGCAAGATCTTCATACCCTTAGTCCCCAGATTAATAATCTGTTTCTCAATGCTGCAGTGTGCTTCAATTGATTATTGCTTTTTTTTAAAAAAATTGCTTCTCTTGTCATTTTCATCTTCACCTTCGTGTAGCTCTACCACATTGTGTATGTGGATTAGCCTTACTCGATTCTCCACTGGCTATTTTATCGCATGCTGGAACACACTTGATACATGCAGACAAGTACAAATCATCGTCTGTTGTTCTACCGGATCCAATACAACTGCGTCGATTAAAGCGTCAACATCCGCATGCATCATCGTCATCTTCAAATAATCGACAGTATTCATCAGAGGAATTTCTATTCCCTAAACCTAATGATCATATTCCGTGTTGTATAGAAGTTTATCGACATGTAAGTTAGATTTCCTGCTTTATGAGACATCACCAGTCTTGCTGTTCTATGGTTTGTTTGTTGGTGTGTGATTGTGTGTGCGTGATTTGTCGTTAACCTCTATTTTTGTTTTGGTTTTTTTGATGACTATTCAGATATTTCTCTCCGTTTTAATAAAGATGATAATAGCTTTATTCTGAAATATGTGTTCGTGTGTGTGTGTGTGTCTACACAAAACACAGTATTTTCGGGATGTGTTTTTATTGCAGGGTGGGTATTTACTACTTGTACAAAATCTTCAAGTAACGTGATAATCGTAACAGATAGTCCCGTTAAGGCATTAACAACAACAACAGCAAAAATATCGCGAGATGTAATGACATCCCGTAGTTTGTTCACGATCGCTTTACAATCAGCCTTACAATCGTTCACAATGTACACAAAGGTCTGACCTTATGTTATGGACTCGTGTCCCTTTGGGTCATTATTATTATTATTGTTGTTCTCTTGGGTTCCTAGTGGAACATAGGGCTTCAACTGCACGTCTCCACTTGCTTCTGTCTTCTGCTGTACTTTTCACCTGCATCCATGTTAGTCCATACTGTTTCAACTTCTCTTCACACGACCTCCGCCATGTCACCATCTACTCATCACAAGTGCTCACCTTTAAACGTGAAATGGACGTTGTTAGTACATAATAGTAATAAATCTTTCAAATAAGTTTTAAAGGAAAAAGGGAACGGAAAACAACTGGAAGATATGTTGTAATCACAAATAACATCAACAGTCTTAATCGATGGTAGATTAGTGAACAAGGAATTAACACTAACAGAATACACCACCTTCATATCTTCTATGTTCGCATCTACAAGACAGTCAGCAAGTTGAAATGTATCCTTCATTCAAAGCAAACTTACATAATTCAAGTTTTGCGTAATGGGCTTAAAACATCATCTAACCATTTTGACCAATTTATGTGTAGGAGCGACGACAACAACGTTTCAGCTTTGGTGTTGATGGTAAAGCGGTAGAATGCTTGCCAACCACAAGTGTGGTTCAGGGTGCGATCCCCGGCCTGCGCACTCCTTTACGTCGCTAAGCCAGTATTAAGACTTTTAAAGAGGGAAAGTAGGGGGGCATGAGGCTGGCTAGCAACCCCATTCCGTAAAAATAAACACCACTGCTGCTGAAACTTCAAACCTCTAGCTTGAAATCCCTTAGGCTCCACTGGGAAGGTAAAGGAATAAAAAATAAAATGTGTTGGAGAAGTGTGACACACTGGTAGAATTCGGACGTCAAATTAGAATTCATGAGCCATTGAATCGGATCCCAGTGGCTGAATGGTATACTAGCTTGCCTTGTAACCTGAAGGTTCTGGGTGTTCGAACCCCCTGGCAGTGACTGCGTCCTGCCGATGATTCCGAAACTAGGATGAAACAGCTGTTTGGCAGTACTCCTTGTGGCTGGTTTTCAATGGTTCTCTAACTCTGATATCAATCCATGATCAACTCGTAAAAAGTCAAATTAGAAGTTTTCAGTTGACTGGAGAAAATGCGCTGAATTAAATTTTTTAACTTTGTACTTTTTATTTTAATAATAAAAAAGAAGATGAGTTAAAGTACATTTTTGTGCAACTTGAACAAGACTGAAAACCACACACACACCAGAACGATTCCAAGTTAAAAATTAACAAACTGCACAAATGAGTCATGAGTTATGTACACCTTCACACTAAAGAAGAAATGTTGTGTAAACAATCTCGTGTAGTAGTAGTAGTCCTAGTAGGCTGGAATGGTAGGTCGAGATATTTTTGAGTCAATAATGAATGTTGTTGTACATACTTTTGACCTTCAAAGTTTTATTTCTTGATTTCTTTGATTATTCTCTAATTTTTGTCAAATTCTTTTTATAAAAAAGCAACAAACAACACATTCTTCTGACCTCACCGACCGCCCCCTTCCTCCGACACCTTTTTAAAGCGCAAGACATAAAATGTCAACAATAATTAGATTACATTAGATGTACTACAGGCTTTAGTCTAATGTGCATAGCTTGTTTCTATGTTTATGTATATCTGAAAGAGTTGACCAATGACGCGGTGAGTGTTGTTGCTATGTGAATAGTTAACGATGAGTATAATAATAGCAGTACAATAATAATGATAATAATAAGGTCAAGGATAATAAAAGTACAAACATTATTTGTTTTTAATGCAGCTTTGATATTATGACCAAAATATTTAGCTTCTGTTGTCACAACAACATGCTGGCTCCTACCTAGTACTTACTCATCTAGTAAGTGAGCGGGTGTCAGTTGATGATGACGAGTCCTAAATGAGGGACGAAATGAGCATCCAGAATATATTGATTATTAATCACAATCATTTATTTGGACATCTGATATTCAACTTAGTAATATAAATATTTATGCATGTTTTCAACTGTTCTCTATTTTAACAATCTATTCGAATATACTACTGAGCGGAATTTTGATGTTATAGTGACTCAAGTGTTATTTAAAAAGCGTTAATGTTGTCAATGACGACCATTCGTTAAGTATACGATACTGTGGAAACTGAAGAAGTTGTCGGAATGAATATTCTTTATTCACTAATCAGTCTTGGAGAAATATATATGAGAGAGGCATCTTATATCAATCTTAAGGTATCACTGAAACACTGGGTGATTTGTTGTTCTACTCATATTTCAGAGTTGCCTTCTTGGCATATATGCTGTGATCTATGTATGTACTGGGAATCCTCTATGTGAACGGATGGTTGTCGTCTGTGTATCTCACCTGAGGTCAGCATCGCTTCAACAATACTATAGACAGAATGAACGAGAATATCAAAGGTAGCTAGGATCCACAGGGTAGGCTATATCTGGAGGAGCACATCTAGGGTGGCAGCAGTATACCTCCGTTTTATGACTGTAGATAATCTTATATGTGGGACTTCACTGGCCAGGGGAACAATTGTTTCTTTAACTGTGGTCAGTTTCTCTTTGTTGTTGTACACACTACTCATGTGTCTCCTTGCAAATTTACTAAAATAACGCTTTTGGACCAGCACACTTCAGATGTACACACTAATTCATTGTCTAGGATGTCATCGGTACAGAGCCATCTTCCTGTATTCTTGAGGAATCCGACTTTGCTATCATTAACTGCGCTAATCATCTTAATATATGTGTAAAGCTTGGGCACTGTGGTAGTAAGTAATTCGATATTAGCTTGTTTATTAGATGGATATATCACACAGTGAAACAGTATTATTTACTGGATGACACAGTTTCAAACAAAATTCATTGTTCATAATCATCTCATCAATTATAATCACACTTCTTGGAAACTTGAGTTTTATAGTTTTCTTTGTTCTCTCCTATTTGTCGTGGTAGGCGTGTTAGTAGAATTTTCCAGATATCGGGGTGGAGAGGTGTTGAATCCCTCCTATTACACGTATTCTCTCTCAGTTGATTCGATAAACAAAGCTTCTGTTATCAATCTCTCCCTCCAACCTGTGACAGTAGATTTTGAAACTGTTATCCTATCCCATCCTATGCTGTATGGTTGTGTGTAATTGCATGTAGTGAGTGCTATAGGCTGAACTATTCTCTAGATTTCTTATCTTATTCGGGTCAGCTATAGTACTACATGCAGTCACACACAACCATACAATAGGATGAGATAGGATGACAGTTTCAAAATCTAATGTCACAGGGTGGAGGGAGAGATTGATAACAGAAGCTTTGTTTATCGAATCAACTGAGAGAGAATACGTGTAATAGGAGTGATTCAACACCTCTCCACCCCGATATCTGGAAAATTCTACTAACACGCCTATGATGACAAATAGGAGGGAACAAAGAAAACTATAAAACTCAAGTTTCCAAGAGGTGTGATTATAATTGATGAGATGATTATGAACAGTAATGAATTTTGTTCGAAACTGTGTCATCCAGTAAATAATACTGTTTCACAGTCTGTGTGATAAATCCATCTAATAAACAAACTAATATGGAATTGCGCTAATCATCGTTATTACTGACATATCTTTTTTCACCTGTGCCTTCCATTCTCTCACTGAAAAAAAATGACAATCTTTATCCAGTGTGCGTGCGTGTGTGTGTGCGTGGTGTCATTTTCATGCCGATCTAGAGAAGAGACACAGCTACCGTTTGAAATTGTGTGACTAGTTAGTCGGTCGGTTGGCATAAGAAATGAGACTGGATGCCCTGTACAACACACCCACTGTGCTGCTGTGTTCTGATGGTGACCGTCTCATTTTAACAGGAAGAAGGTACACATTGTAAGAGACACACTTTTATGTATGTATGTATGTGTGTGTGTGTGTATAGTGTCTGCTTACTATTTGACCTAATTAGTGAAAATCATGCCATACTTTTGTGTCCTTAATTCACAGGACAACGATGCTGCATCCATACGTCCATCCATAAATCCATACACACAGACATACATACAAATATGTGTTCACGTTATTTGGTATAACATACTGTAATCATTATTATTATTATTATTTAAGTGGTGTGTGTATGTGTGTTCACTTTGAGTAGACTAAAGTCCTACTATATAGACAGAGAAGATATTCTCACCTCATATGACCAAATGAACACAGATACGTACGCTCACATATCTTGTTATTGTTGTTATTAAAAATAATAATAATAATATGTGGAATAGTACACAGTTCACAGGTAAGCGTACATACAAAAACAGAGAGAGAGAGAGAGAGAGAGAATCCAAGCGAAAGAAGAAGAAGAAAAAGCTTTCAAAATCACATCCAATCAATTAGTTGTAGAAATACTTTGGAATGAACAGTCTAATAGAGAAAAGTAATGCACTACTAAACTATTCAGAAAGACAATATACATAGACGATATATTCTCTTGCAAATCGACACCTACCCAGCCAGCCAGCTAGCCATTAATTCATTGATTTTATCAGTTAGTTATATAGAACAAAAGTATCACACCACATGAGTGATACACATACACTGTGATATGGCTAATAGTAGGTGGAATATAAAACAAAAATAATAAGTAGAATTTTTCATTGTTGTTGGAGTTGATCGGCACAGGAAGCCATGCCTAACGTAGGTGAGTTTCGTGCTTGTTGGCGTCTCTCCAATCTTGATGGAAGTCATATCGCTTTCGGAGCTGGGGCACATTCAAGTGGTACAGTGACAGACGTTATCACTGAGGTATTCGGCGTATTTGGCACTTTTATTTGGACCATGAAGTAGTAACCAGCATTGTATCATGCGTCGTCTATTCTTTCGTTTTATGCAAACTGAATTGCATCAAGTCAGTCAAGTTTGCAATGTGGCAATCGATCTGAATCTGAGATGGTACATGAATTCGTTCGCTTGACTAGGGTGCACGACAAGCACGAAGCGTAGGCTCAAGGAGTGGTGATGGCCACATTGCGAACTCGACTGATAGAATTCAGTCAGTTAGTCAGTCAGCATTAACACCAAGGGCTAAATGTTATGACATTAGTGTTACTGCCGCCTAGTGTCCAATAAAAGAATGTTTCCCTCACCTGTTTTTTCTTTCACAATCTTTGCTCTACCTCAGTGTTCATATGACAAAGATTACACCTTAGGCTGTACGTAATATATACCTTCATTATTTTTCTTTATCCTTAAGAATTTATAAATAATGTCTTGTGTATTATGTTACCTGACCATGTTATCACCCTAGACATGGTGGTATCGACGGTCTTCCGCATAATGAGTGTTCTTCCATACTTCTTAATGTGTAATAAAGATTGTTTGCACAGCAGCGCGGTCAAACCTATAGTAGTTGCCATCTTTGTGTAGGTCTCTTCTGCAGTGTTTGAGAGGGTGTGAAGGTGAATTTTGTTTTGCTGGCGAATAGGAGTTCGTAACAGCAGGAAGATGTTTCTCTTGGTTGGTTGGGTTATGTTGCCACTCAGCTCTGGTTAATTAGGAGGAGGTTAGAAAACGTTTACTCTATTAATTGTACACCCTGACTTACTTACTTACTCTGAGGTGAACAGCGGGTTTTAATCCGAATATGGGACTCTTGATCAGTACCTACCCACCGGGGCTAGTACCCAGGAGTTGCTGCTTACAAGGTGATCTTGTAGTTCATTCAGTCACTGATGGGACCTAATTCAACGGTATATGAATTCCAATTTCTCCTAATTCGTGATATATGGGGAATCGTGACCAAGAAGTGAGGTAAGAGAACAGTTAGTTATTCGCCTTATGACGACAATGGCTGGAGGTTGAGCTGGGGTGAAACAGCTGACTGATGTGTCCAGCTCGTGACCGAAGTACTCTATTTGTTCTGTTTGCAAGTTAATGAGTAGCACTTGAACGATTGTTTTGTTTTTCGGTGATTCCCTGTAAATCCGCTTAATCTTTCATTTTTTCTCTTCTGTTCTGTTTCATCATATAAAAAATTAAATGTAGCTACGATTCGGTGTTTCTCCAGGATTTGACGCCTACCTTTTAGAAGCAACGAAAGGAAGCTTAACCTTTACATGTCCTATTTGTTCCACAGTGTTGTGTACTCGTTGGGCCTTAACACAGCATGCATTTTCAGAGCATTGGGTAAGTGTTGGTTTTTCTTTTTGTGTTCGTGTGTTTCTTTCACCTTATAATAATTCATTTTTAGTTTACCCATTTTTTCTATATCTGATTTAAAGATACTTTTCTCTGAAGTTAAGTAGCATCCATGGATAATGAATTGTCAGTTAGTTAGTTAGTCGATGTTTAATTCAAATTAGCCAACGGGTATATTCACATCACTTTGAAAACACTGTGAAGAGATCCACAGCGTTTAGCAACAATAACAAAATCCGAATTTTAATCAATACTTCTTAGTCTTTTGAAGACTTGGTGTGTTCACGTCGCACTCTATAAGCATTTACAACAGGCTATAGATTTATATATATATGGTGAAGTAGGAGTTCCCCAGATGACTGATTTTTTTAAATGTTTGTTTTACGAACATTCGCGGTGTACGATAGACGTACAGTTTCAGTTTAACGGCAAAACATATCGTCATAGCACTAAGCGTCCTCTCGGGCCTTCTGTCAACCGATTTATTTATGGCAATAAGTAGAGAAAATTATTTGGTGAATGGTGACTAGCAGTGGAATCTACCAGGATGCGCATTTCGTCCTATTTGAGACTCGTCTGCCAGCCGGATGTACCTGCATTCTCCAGTGAGTCAGTGATGATGTTCTCACCGAGGCTCGAACCCAGTGCCCGTAGTTTCAAACGTCAAACTGAGACCGAGCACTTCGGTGCAATCAATCGACAGGAAAATCTGAAATTGGATTAAGTAAATTAGAGAAAACTGTCCACTTGACATGTTAATCAACAAAATGGTTATTAAGACACCTGAAAAATCCCAATGCATTAAATCTAAATAAAAATCCATCATTATAATCCATTGCAAAGAACTTATTCATGTCAGGTGACAAAATCAATATGTAAGATTGCTTCGCAGTGATTCTCTATAGTTTGGTTTGTAAGGGTTAGTTATGTCTTTACGAGTTGATCAGGGATTGATATCAGTGAGAGAACCATTGAAACCAGCCACAGATAGTACTGGACAGCTGTTTCATCCTAGTTTGGGAATCATCGGCATTACGCACCCACTGCAAGGGGGTTCGGACGCAGGACCTTCCGGTTACAAGGCAAGCTAGTATACCATTCAGCCACTGGGATCCGATTCAATGGCTCATGAATTCTAATTTCGACCAATTCCTGGGTTCGAATCCCAGCGGGTGTGCACTGCCGATGATTCCCAAACTAGGATGAAACATCTGTCCAGTACTCCATACTGGTTTTCAATGGTTCTGTAACTGATATCAATCCGTGATCAACTCGTAATCACAGTTATTCATCACATAACTCTAATTCAAAGTTATTTAAGTTGACGGAAGTATATTGGATTAATCACATACTTCCTAAACTCTGTGTGCAGTCAAAACAATAGACTTAACACCTCCCTTTGCCTACGTTGGACTACTTGACCTATTTAAATATGATTGGTCATTAGTGATTGTGTACTTTTATTTTATATAAGAGCGGAGTAATTTTGATGCCTTTTATTTGGTACCTGTGATATCCGTGCGAGTTGTCAAGCTATTGTAAATATCTCCGGTTGTATTTCTCTCGCCCCAATTATGCCGATGAAATCCTATTGGTTGTCAGTGTAATTAATGAGTGTCTGTCAAGGCCATTCAGAGCATTCATCTGATAGTATACACGAGCGCTGACTATCGTTTTTGCTGTTGACACAAGATAGTAAGAGCTCTGTGCGCCAGGTAGGTGTCTGTCTCCTCTTATCGCATCTTGCGTCTCACTTTCGGTGGTATCGTCTCGTGTAGTTGTTGCTAGTATTGGTTGCAGCAATGGGCATGCGAATCAACTAGGTAGGAAATTCGTCAAGGTAACTACAGGCGTATTAGTGGTCATATCAATGTATATATTAATATAGTAATTGTGAATTGGGAGGTTAAGTATAACTAACAGTTTCTACCGAACAAACATCCTTTTATGAATATGGGTTTCCTGTAAACAGTAGTGTGTTTAACTTCGCATCTTATTTCCTTAATGTGGTGGAAGATTCGCTTCGTGAGTTTGAAAATCTAATGCAACAGGGTGGGGTGACAGACAGAGAGAGAGAATGATGACTGAAGCTTTGGTTATCGAATCGACTGTAAATACATGTAATAAGAATTCAGCACGTGTCCAGCCGGACATCTGAAAAATTCGACTTCCCTTATGATGACGGCGAATAGGAAAGAATAAAGAAGACTATAGAGCGAAAGTCTCGAAGCTGTGTGATTATATAATTGTGATGTGATTATGAACAATAAATAAATTGTGTTCGGAACCTTTTCATCCGTTTACTATGTGATATATCTAATACACAAATTAATGTGAAATTCACTCCTAATAGTTTGAAAGTTTTGCGTCACTAGTTAGTTAGTATATGATAATCACTATAATAAAAGTCTTTATCCTCATTTCTATTCAATTTCACCATAGATGTACTAATGGATTTAACCCTGACTCACTTCAGAGACTCAGGGATTGACTTGTTACTGCCAGGGAATAATCTCGTTGACTTAAAATATACAGATGATATAGTCCTTCTAGACGAGGACACTGACAAAATGCAGAGTCTTCTGAACACCTTGAGCTGAGCAGCAATCTACAAATGTTTGGCATGCGATTCGCTCCCGCTGTCAAATGTGAGATGATGTTACAGGACTGGACTACACTGACTCCTAGTTTAGAAATAGGGAGTGAAGTGGTTGGTGGAGCGTGTTGACTGCTTCACTTATTTGGGAAGCTGCATCAGCCAACGCCAACAGGTTGATCTCTGAGGAAATCTCAGTACGGATACAGAGGGCTAGTTTCGCATATGCCAGTTTACGCCGTCTCTGGCGTAGACGTGATATCCTGGTGGCTGTCGACCAAAGGGCGTGTGTACTGCTCATCAGTCCGCTCTGTCCTCCTTTATGGCTGTGAGCGAGACCTGGCCATTGAGAGTGAAAGACATGAAAAGCCTAGCTAGCTGTCTTTGATCATAGATGCCTTTTATGATGAAATTTATTTGCTTTGACAGTGTTGTAACAGCAGAAGGCAAGACATGGAAACAAACGTATACTTTCAATTGACTTATCCTCTATATATATATATATAGTTTATATTCTTTAGGCGGTCAGTGGGCGTGTGATTTTGGTTTATATTAAACGACATGATATAGAATGTTCAAATATACAGATGTGGTATTCTATTGCTAATGCAGTATTGAACTGTGAGAATATGTGAGAAGTGTTTACGGTTGGAACACATTGTCTGTCTGTATCCCACCACCACAGTATCATTATTTTGGAAAGAGATATCTTGATTAGCTGAAATGTTGGTTTGATAACAAAGCAACATGATTGTTTCAAATAGAATAGGCAATGATAAGGTCGTTTGTCTTGTTTATTCTATCTCATGTTAAAGGCACTCACGCACACACACACACATACACACACGTAGCTCTCTGATTCCGGCCACTTTCTCGTCACCCAATGTCTTTGAATCTAAGTTGCCATCAGAATTAATTGTTAATGCGCCTAGCCTTTTAACTAGGTGTGCAATACAGTCGATATTGTCGTCTGGCGTTACACAATACTTTTGATGGTTCAAAGACTTTGAACAGGGAACTACTGCTGAAAAATTGCATCTACCCTAAATATTGGCGATTGAATGTGTGTTGATATTTTGCACTGTATACTTCTTTTATTATCTTACCGTAATTTCTTATGATATGAATTCATTGTTACAAAATAATTATTTTTTTTAATTTTTAGGGCACTTTATGCTATATTTGTTGTACTTACACATTCAATCCTGAGGAGAATTCGCCTTCGTTAGACATCAGTGTTGATTGTAATGCACAGATTCCAAGTGCCTGTCCATCAGTGTCATCTTTACCAGCTATCGCTTCTTCTTCTTCGTCTTTATGTCCACCTACTTTGATCCCTTCCTCTTTGATGACCACGAAGAAGATAGCATCAACATCCACAACAGCCACAGCGACAGCAACACCAACGACTGAGATTGTCGTGCCACAGTCAATGAAAACGTCGGCTAATTTATGGGATCACATTTTTCAGTGCATGAATAGTCGCCGTGATCTACTGAATGGTCATCATCATCAACATGGTCCATTTCCTCCACCACTATCATCATCATCATCATTGACGAAATCTGATCTTCGTGTGAATGATGATGACAACAACCACCATCATCACCAGCACCACGACCACCACCACCAGCAGCAGCAGCTGTTCATTGGGGATATTGATTTAGACCGTAGTGAAAGTGAGCTACCAAGATATTCTTACAATTATGATAATGGTAATAAGCTCTTTTTTCTTTGGGTTGTTGTTGATGAGGATCACGTGTGTGACAGTAATATGCACTTGTTTTGCTTTATTGTTGTTTATGAGTATCAGCTTGACTTGATTTGACTTGACTAAATATGCCACCTATGACTGTATAATCCGTAATTCTTTGAAGATTAAGGCTGCGTCTCGATAGTGGGGAAAGAGAGATTACAGGATTTCATCATGAGCTAGTATCGGTGAGAGAATGATTGGTAAATCAGGTGGGAGTGCTGGTACTGGACAGCTTTTTCGTGAGCCTAGTTTGGGACTCTTCAAGAGGATGCACTTACCTCCAGGATTCGAAGGATTCATGACCTTCTGACCCATGAACTTCTAACTTCTATTTCAGTTCACGATATAGCGCGACTGGCCACTAGGCAATGTGTAATGTCCTCGGCGAGTGTTTATCAAACTTTGGTGAATGCGTACCGTTGAGAAGTCTCAAAGTAAGTAGGAAGCCGCTCTCCAGCATTTCCAGGTTTAGTACTGGTTCTCTATCGGTGTCATCTGTTGAGGAAATCTTGCAAGCAGTCGAATTGCTGCAAACCAACAGTTGAAACAAATAGATTCAAATGAACTATCACAAGTAGAAATGAGTGAGTGAGTGAGTGAATGAGTGAGTGAGTGAGTGAGTGAATGAGTGAGTGAGTGAGTGAGTGAGTGAGTGAGTGAGTGAGTGAGTGAGTGAGTGAGTGAGTGCATCACCGATATCGGGAACGATTTTGAAAGATATCACACCAACAGTGTCTGTTGCCGCTATTGGTTCTTAGCTTGCCATTGACCACAACTAGACATTTTACATCCACCTACCTACCTCCGCACCTACCTATATATGTGGCTGACCGAAACCAGTACTCATGGACTTGATGATGAATTGATGTCATGTTTTTGGTTTCACAACCCGTAATTCTTTTCCAAACTATTCGTTTCTTCTATGTCAGCTTGACAAAGAAGACTGTGAATCGGCTCGATGTGTAGAGCTGCCTTACAACTTCATTGTGTGTGACTGGATTTACCCTACTTACTACGTAACACTCTGTACGCCTAACAACCACCTCAGTATTACTCATCATATTATACCAGCTAAGTAAGACAAAACTGAAGATATAACGCGAAATCCTTTGGTAAAAAATAGCTACCTTCCGTGTTACCCCACTGGTCATAACTTCTCACTAGAACCCAGGTAACTGCTTACCTGAATCTGACCAGTCACTAGTAGTATGCCTCAGGCGAACAAACCCACCCTGTATAGGAAAAAAAAATAATCACCACTACTAACGAAACTTCAAAGCTGAACCTTCAAGTTCCCCCACCCCACCCCACCTCACCCCCGCAATACTCCATTCGTAACGTAAAGGAATCAATTTGTAAACTACCTAATATCGTTGTTTGTTTGTTTTTTGCATGCGAAAATTACGATTATTTGTTCTGGGTTATTTGATTTAAATTGTAATACACTACTCTTTTAAGTATATTTTCCTAATCCTCCTTTTTTTTCTGCTTCTTTTCTGTTGTTGATGTTGTCAAACACAAACAGTTTCTGATTGTGATGATCCAAGTGAAAATTTTAATGATTCTGTCCTCACTATTGTGAGTTCACCTGAACATGAGATGATCACTAATACTAACACTACTACTAATAATAATAATAATGCTGATAAGAATTATTCAGATGTGAGTTTATCACCACGCCAGATACCACTACATATCAGTGAAACATGTTTATCATCTAATATTTCGACTGACGCCGCCATCTCTGCGACCAGCGCCAGCAACACTACCATTCCAATGACTGCTGCTTCGTTGTCATTGTCATCTGCTGCTGCTCCTGTACCTGCTACTACTTCTACTACTGCGATGACGACAACGAATACTGCTGCTGCTGCTGCTACTGTTGCTGCTCGTCCTCCTCTTCCTTCATGTACTAGTCCTATTGAATATGTACATAAAATATTTAATAATAAATATGTAAAGAGAAAAGCATCAACAACAACAACTTCGGAAACTAGTGGTAGTACACGTAATAAACGTGTATGCCCATCACTAAACAAAGGTGATTGCAACAACGTACAAGGTAGTTGTCATCGCATTATTGAAGGTGTTGGTGTTAGTGCTAGTGTTGGAGGTGATGATAATGACCAACTGAGTCCAACTAATAATTCTGCTACTACTACTCCTTGTGTTGACGAGGGGGCGCAAGAACAGGTCAGCAGCGGCGGCGGAGGGACATCACGTAGTTCTGATGATACAAATGTTACTGAAATGTAAGTTTCAGTGTTAACAGTATTTTTTCAAGTGTTGTTTTTGATTTGTTTGATTTGATTGTTTACAGGATTTCGTCATGAGTTGACATCAGTTAGAGAAGCATCGGGAAACCAGCTGGTGGAGAATTACACAGCCAGACATCTATTTCATCGGTCTGGTTTAGTAGGACACTTCAGCAGTAGGCACTCACCCCCACTAAAGTTCGAACCCAGTACCTTTCAGTGACAAGGCTAGCGAGCTAGCTAGCTCGTAGACCATTAAGCCACTGGGATCAGCCCGATCCAATGGCCAGCCAGCCAGCCAGCCCATGAATTCTAACCAATTCTACCAATTCACGGCATAGCGCGCGATCACTAGCCCCAATGTCTTCGTCGAGTATTTGTCTGCAAGTAGTATCAAGAAATCTCTGATCATTCGAGATTAATCGAAATCTGAATATGATGAATCTGTCCCTTGTTGTTGTTGTTGTTAGTGCTTAACGCGAGTTGATGTCATGAAGGTGGTCTAACGGAATGTCGCCGCCGGTGTGAGGTTTCACCATGTCATAGGCGTGATGTTTATGCTCATCTGTGTGGGTGGCACTGGTGATTGCATTAACACTTTATATCATTGCAAATTTGACGGAGAATAGAATGAATTCACAGCTGATTTAATTCCAACCTATTAGTTGAATTATCAATGACCAGGCCTTCCTTGTAAGTCGAAGGGTCCTGGTTTCAATCCACAATGGGGTTATGGGATTGTGCACCTTGTGAAGACACGCTTACTAGGGACAGGTCAGCTAGCTGTCTCCTCATGCCTTTCAATTCTTTTCTAAACAATGTGCATTCGTGAATACGACATCTAAATTGGAATTTTGCTTATTTCAGGTCAGCGTTTGATAGACCAACAATACCAAGTGGAGTTGTATCGAATCCGCCTGTATGTCAGATAACTTATAAGTGAGTGATTCAGTTATTATTTTTCTTTTCTTTTCAAGATATTATGTATCTATCATTGTGGGTGATATATATGTGTTGAGAAAAATAGATTTCCATCTCGTCTAGATTTGAATCGGTCCTTTGTTATCGGTACTATGCTACGCTATGCTTGTCAGCCAGCCAGCCATCCATTCACAGGAGGTTGATCTCCAGTCGACGGAGTTCTAGACCTAACTCGCCTCCTAGTGTATACTAGTCGCTGGTAAAGGTGGGAGGTTGGCCGTGACGGCAACAGCCTTCCCCCCCCCCCCCCACCACCACCACTGTGGAAAATCCTGAGTCTGAAGCTTGAAGCTCTATGTGTTCGCCTCGTTAGACAAGAAATGAAAGAAATAATTTTCGTTGATCGACAACAACAATTAAGAAGTGGCAGATGATATCCGGCATGTCGTTGCTAAACTACACAACACATGTGAATGGTAGCTCAGGTTACAAAGTGGCTGCTCCCCATCGGGACTTTACTAGTAGTGGTAGTCTGGCGACTAAATCACTATCCAAGATTGTCCTTCTAAGTGACAGGAAGTACTCATTGAGTCATGAAGCAAGAATAAAATAAAATTTCCATTATCGAAGAAGTCATCTTCAAAGGCTTTACTAAGATGGATGACTACCATTCATTGTTGAGTAATGAGGGCATGTGTTTGTGTATCTGCCTGTGTGTGTGTGTGTGTGTGTGTGTGTGCGATTGGAGTTGATTTTGATCGAGTCACTCAGATGTGGTTTCTAGAGATTGAGGCGGACTACCACCTAATTTCCTTCGCTTGAGATTAATTTATGACTTAGGATTGGAACATGATAATCACCTCGAGCTTTTTTTTCTTCAAATCAAATAACGTCTCGTGTTAGTCAGTCATCTATTGTTGACATCATCACTCCTTCCAGTGGATCAGCTGTATTTGTGGGGTAGATATATGGCATATTCTCACTGAAGCACACTTGACTTTCAATCTCTTTGTTTCAAACCCGATCTACTGGTGGTGGTTAACTGTTTCGTCCCAGTTTGCAATTCTTCAACAATACGCATCCAATGCGTAGAAGGCTCAAAAGACCCACTCGAAGAGTCCTTCCTCAATGTTGGACAAAACAAACTATCCAGTAGTACTCTCTGGTTTTCAGTGTTACTTCGTAATATACCTTGAAAAGCTTTTTTCCCGTATTCTCATTATTTGTAATTATGTGAGTGTGAATGATTCATTCCCCTTGGTAGCAGATATCAATAGCCCATATGCTATGATGTGGAGTGTTACTTACTGATTTGTGGGTTCGTCTAACTCGACTAGAATACACCTCCAGAACACACCACAACACCATGTAACCAATTGATTGATTGTCTTGAAATTGTCTCCCCCGTACTCAGGTAAACACAAAAGTCGGACTGATTAAAACGGCGTCTATGAAAAGATAACAACTGCCTTTATTAGGTAAAAAGGCATGGCATAGTATATATGTACAAAACCTCAGGGATTTAAGCTATAAATATATGAATTCTATTGGTTGTTTGTCATCACAATCCCTCAGAAAATCAAGCCACAATTGAACGAATCAAAACTATGCAATCAGGTTACCACATGACACCTGCGTACCTAAATCGGAACTTCATGACTAGTATAGACGTTTTTCCCGTTCTAACTACCACCTCCCTGTTTCTGTTAGTTCTCGATTGTGGGACCCGTCCCCCCTTGATGTTACTTTGTGAGTATGTGTATGTGTGTGTGTACCTTCTGTCTGTGATACCATTCTGAGATAAATTAAATCTCATTAAATTGATATTACATATATACACATATACGTGACTGTCAAGTCTTTCTGGTTTTTCCATTTTGATATTTGTCTTCCTACTACTTCACCATCTAGGAGGGCTAAGTGGTAAGATGATCAGCTTAAATACTATTCTGTTTGCTGTTCTGATCAGTGTTGTTATTATCATTGCTGTGATTTGGTGAGATTTTAATAAAAAATAATTCATGGGATTGTGGGTGGGTGGGTGCGTGTGTGTGTGTGTACATCTTAGAAAAGGAGTGTAAAACTATATATTCATGGGATTAATAGCAGGCGAATAACTAGGTGAAAGATAAAGTGTGTGTGTGTGTGTTTATATTCATTCCCTATTTCTACCTTGGCCTCATTTATTGATTGATTCATTTGGATCGCTAGTATTTCAGCTACTACTACTACTACGTGTAAACGTCTTGATCTCATCCCTCATTTGAAGAAGTTTGATGTAATCCATAGAATAATACACCAGTTGATTTTGCTCCTCTTGTGAAGTTGAGTGTGAGTACATTGGCTGTACCAGGTGTCCGTTTGTGAAAGAAAAAAAACAAATTAGGGGAACAACACTATCTATCATCCCGCCTGGCTAGCCAGCCAAATGGGAGAATATGTAGGTGCGTGTTGACGCTTATTGGCGTTTATCTACTTTATTTATCGGCGAAGTTAAAATAGCATAGCTCCAAAGTGAAGGTCTTTTTTAAAAGTTGACCACCTTCAACAGTCAGTCAGATGCCAGTGATTACCACGAAAGGTTATTCCAAATTGAAGCATGCCTCCTGGCTTTTTGAACTAGGTAGTTTCTCTGCAAATCTATACTGTTAGTTAGGGTTATGGCTTTTAAGAGCAAGGTTTAGGCTGTAGAGTTAAGGTTAGAATTAGGGTCAAAGTTCAGATCAGGAGTTAGGATTATGGTCAGAGTCAGGAGTAGTAGGTTAAAGAACAGTGTCACAAATATCAATGGATCTCAAGGTATCATGGCCTTACATTCAACCTGGGTGAATGCATCTATCGGGTATGGTATGATTTCGCTACAGATCGTCTGTGTAGAAACTGAAAGACATTCTTACAATACATAAACGACAACTATATGGTGTAATGTCACACGTTTGCAGTGCCTTTTTTTTAGTACATTTTTCAACCACGATGCAACCTTTTTTGTATCTGAATTCTGATCGACTGGCTTTTCATAGTGACTGGGATATTTATTGGCTGTGGTATTTTAACTTTGCTTATTTATCGTTTTGTTTCTTTGATTTGTTTACACACTCCACCCCTTATTATTTTTCGATAGCTATATTTTATTACTCAGAACACTTTGGACCATTTCCCCGATGTAAAACTATAAACTACTGATTGGTGATTGAGACGAGTGTTAGTGGTAGTAGTAGTGTAACAACAGAAGGCAAGGGCCGGGCAACAGATCGTTTATTTAGGAAATCAACATATATTTATAGATTTTCATGTACATTATTATAGATTATTGTAAGTAAACAAACACGGTCTTCTGATTGGTTGTTTCTCGCTGAACGTTAATCCTTCATCTCTTTGTGGCCGTTTATTGAAGTTCAGATTATCTATCTGCAAATTGTAGGCGTCGGTGTCATAGCGGTTAGGACGCTCGCCGACCATGCACATGGTTCGGGGTCCGATCCCCGGCCGACTCACTCCTTTACCTCGCTAAGCCAGAAATAATGCTGGTAAAGAGTAAAGGTCGGGCATGAGGCTAGCAACCCCATTCTGTAAAATGAACACTGCTACAGAAACTTCAGGCCGCTAGCTTGAAGCCCTATGTTCCACCGGGGAACGTGAAGGAAAACAACATCTGCAAATTTTATCCGCCTACGCAAAGTCTGCTGTGATTGGTTGTTGAATCAGTCTTTGTTCTTATTTTTCTCATGACCAGTATTGGGGACGTACACATTGACGTAAATTACTGTCTACTAATTTGGCTAGCAGCCAACTCTCACCACTACTCATATCAACCAAGCAGTACTCACTAGCCAGCCCAGGCGAATCGTTGTGATCTAAATACTTGACTGCTGTTTCGCTCATTTTTGACCGCACTTGTCAGCGGTGTACCTACCCTACCCCGTTTGACTCAATGGTATGCAGGTACTCATCTCAATCAATCTCTAGTGTGCTAGTTTGCTCGCTTTCCCCTATGATTACCATTCATGCATAGTATCAGACAGACCCCACACATATTATGATCGGAATAACCCTGGTTTCCGCTTGAAATGTATGTAAATTGCTAATTTCGAATTTTCAAAAGAATGGATACTGAACAAAGAGGTGAATATCAGAAAAATTGGGAATTTATAGTTTCCACTGAAGGCCGCCTCGCTGAGCTGAGCTGAATCGTGCGCTGCCCGAAAACCAGCGTAACGCGACCGTCTGTCTGTTGTTTCGATTTGACCGGTTGGCTGGCTGACTAGCAAGCACTACTTGTTGATTTGGGGTCCAACTACTCATATCAGTCTATCAGTAGTATACAACATCGTGTATATTTTGTTTTACTGTAAACTAAGCTTTGTAGTCATTGGCAAGTGGAAAGTTTCAAAAGTGAGGGTAGGGGTTGCTGCACGATGGACCGTCTTTAATTAGCCACGAAGTCTGGTTTCGGTATACACTCGACCTCTTTCTTTTCCATTTTATTTGTTTAGCTATGAATATATATATATATATATATATATATACAGTTATATTCTGTACTTGCTCTAACTTTGCGTCTGTGTGTATGTGTGTGTTTCCTTTCCATTCTATTCAACACTAGATGTTACGTGTGTCAAAGACGATTTACTGCTCGTTCTTCGTGTCTGCGTCATATGACCAATTTGCATGGAGCTGTAACATCAGAGCTGCAGTGGAATCTTTTAACTGAAACAAATTATGGTAAGCAAGTGAAAATTCTTATTCTTATTCTTCTTGTGTTTCTTTCATTAATGTGTATTTTGTAAGCTGAAAGACACTGTTGACAACTGTGTGACGAGTCCTTTTTGAGATAGATGCTTGAACTGAACTTTCTTCCTTCCCCTCCCCGCGCCCCTGCCTGTTTAGGGTTAACAACACGTTATGTGTGATAACATGCACTTCTATCTACTGTGCGATAGACGATGTAGTTGATGATGATAGTGGTGTAGCTAGCCTCTTTGACTGACCGACTTAGTCCTTAGCTTATGTATCACTTTTGAAAGATGCTTTTATTGATATAGACTCTACTGATGACAACGTTTCAACGTACAGATTTGCACTGAAGTGTTGTAGGAGTCAAAATAGTCAAACTCCATTCAGTCCACAAAGCTACAGAAAAGAGAATGCAAAAAAAAGCATTTAGAAGTACCATAATAAGTGGAAAATTTAGGGGAGAAAGAATAGTAACATGGAACAACATATGGGTTTGGTTTTTATATAGATATGAGAGACCAGATAGAGTGGATTGATGAATTCATCTGTGCCACTGAGAACAATTTTGAGTCCCGTCAGCAATAGTCTCCAGTCAATGATGATCATGTTTCACTACAATAAAGGAGGATGGAGGGAACTGTGGTGGTGCCAACCGGATATCCCATTTACGCGATAGATGACTCTTAATTCAGTTAATACCCCCCCACACACACACACACACGCTCAAGGCTTTTGTATCTGTGTTGAGGTCAAACCATTGGAGGTGATGTAACTTCTCAAATAAAAGTGAAGCATGAATGCGACGAATAAAAGGTGCTCAAGAACTGAGTCATTGGTGGTGTCTGTCTAATTTCTCCTTTCGACAATTAAATTTAAAGATGTTGTTATACATGTCTAGACCATATCACACTGACTAAGTTTTTAATGTACACCAGGCCTTATGAGCTTGATGAGAGAAAAGGCTGATAATACTATTATAACTACTACTAATACGACCCATTGGTGTCCAATCTGTAAAGTAGGTCGGCGGGGATTTGAATCTTGTGATCCTCCCGCCTGACTGACTGAAAGCAACGCTGAGAACGGACGTGGTCAATGAGCCACCCGTCTACTTTATTTGCTGCAATACTATTGCAATATAAAATTGACTAGTTTACCTGGACTGAATATCTTGTCTAGAAAGACAGTGAAAGCTTTGCAATTAAATCAATCCAATTTGAGAGAACTCGACTCAACACTACACCAAATTATACCGTCCCAGGTTTTCCAATGGTTCTCTCACTAATGTCAGCTCATGATGAAGTCCTGTAACCAATCAACCAAATCCCTACAAACCAATACTTGAATATCAATAAGATGCTCACTGGGGTTCTAATTTCGAAGTCGTGACCAGTAGGCTGCAGCAAGTCGGGTGTGAGGACAAATACTCGCCGAAAAGACATTGGCTAGCGGTTGCGCTATATCGTGAAGTGGCAGAAGTTAGAATTCATGGGCTGGCTGACCATTGGATCGGGCTGATCCCAGTGGCTTAATGGTCTACGAGCTAGCTCGCTAGCCTTGTAACCAGAAGGTCCTGGGTTCGAACCCCGTGGTGTGGGTGTGTACTGATGAAGACTCCCAAACCAGGATGAAACAGCTGTCCAGTACTCCCCCAGGTGGTTTTTCAATGGTTCTCTAACTAATGTCAGCTCATGATGAAATCCTGTAACCAATCAAACAAATCCCTACAAATCAATACTTGAACATCCTACTTCTATGGATTCATCAGTTGGTTTTGTGCTTAACTCAACTGTTGGGTGTGTGTTGCGGGGGTGGCGCATGAAACCAAACACTAATCGTTTGAAAAGGAAAAAAACAACAACAACAAAACTAGGCTACTGAGTCATTAGTTATCAGAAGTTGTTGTAAGCGCCGATCTGTCGATAAAAATGTACATCACCTTTGCGTGTAATTCATTTTTGAAGGTAAAATTGAGGGCGGTGTGTGTGTGTGTGTCGGGGGTAATTGTAGTGAAATAAATACCCAGTAATCTGTTTGCTTAGTTAATAGTAATAATAGTAGTAGTAGTAGTAGCGTGAAATGAAAGTGTTCAAAAATTGTTTTGAATTTATTGTGTGCTGAACTAACTTGCATCATGATTTGGCACGTAATGTTGTGTTTCCTAAGAAATGAACTCACAACACATATTCGTAAAAGTTATGATTCAATTATTTTTTAGTGATATTGTTGGCGGGCAATTCAAAATCTCTGCACTATACGTAAATGGCTTCACTGTCTGGTTGTAGGATTTTGATTCAATCATTGCCTCCTCACAGATAGTCATTTGACTTTTAAGACTGTATGTAGACTTCAGGGCATTAATGCCAGTTTCAGCTCTATGCGAATTTGTGAGCTTAATTCAATCTGACAACGACGCCGCATAATCCACCATATCGAATAAATGCGTGAATTACACAGAAGAGACTTTAAGCTCAGTGTATCGCCAAATCAGATTTTCGCAACAGTAGGATGGTGACGTGGGTTTGAAGCTGGATATTCGTCTACGTGTAGAAGGAGGAAGAGGTCGAGGTGAAGGAGGAGGAGGAGTGGGGCATCGACTCCTTCAAGATCTCGACAAAACGTGTAATGTACTTGCACAACACATCTCAGAGATTCTAATCACATGCACTCACACACACACACACGAGTACTTGTCATACACATGTATATCATATAGAAGGCAAATTGTGTGCGAGTCAAGGTCACAAGTGAGAGGTGGGAAGATGGTGACGTAAGCAAAGGTAGAGGGTGAAAATAGTGTTAAGTAAATTGAACCTTGGTTCTAAATTGGATTACCAAGGCAGGTTCAGACTGATAACGAGTAATTTTCGGACACATGAAACAGGTCTTTACCGAATTTCAGTATGTGACCCAAATTTGTTTTAAATAAGGCTTTTGAAGGCATTATTGAAGTGAACCTAGGGACCCATCTCTATGATGATGATGATGATGTGCTTTGCGATAGATGATGTTGAACATCTATTTCCAGGATCACTTGTATCCGGTGATTTTATTTGTCGCAACCACTTTGGAAAATGTTCTGTAGCGCTAACCTGCAGAGACCGATGCGTCCTCCCTATACACCCATGTGACCACACATACATGTAAATTGGTAAACACAATGGAATGTGACACTACCGGTCGGATGATGTGTGATGATGGTTTACAGAACAGCATAAACCTCGTTTTGTCCGAGGAAATAAGTTAAGAGCTGCTGCATAGCAAGTTCTATCAATAACCACCCTTTTTTAGGAGCTGATTGGATAGCTGAGGCCGTCAGTTTGACACTTCTGTAGCGTTCAATGAATTTCAGGGAAATAGCTGTTATCCAACAGGATTTTATTTCAGTGTGAAGTGTTGTGTTTCTTCTTCTTCAATGGTGTGTTCTCTGTGTGTACACATATGCTGAATGTGCCTGAACATGCATTCAACTGCTACTGCCTTCTAATTCAGTCAGTGTGAACACAAACCATGCTCATTTAGGTGTACTGTGTCTCACTTCCATGTAGACTTTCTGTAGACCATATCGTCTTATTGATGATCCATCTTATCGACTAGCTGATGAGTAGTAGTGTAACAACAGAAGACAAGGGCCAGGCAACAGATCGTTTATTATGGAAAATCAACACGTATTTATAGATTTTTATGTACATTATTGTAGGTCAATGTTAGTGGAAAATACAGTCTGTTGATTGGTTGCTTCTCACACAAAGTTAACCTTGCATATCTTGTGGCTGTGTCAGTTCAACTATATGTTAACTGTATTCGCCTGTCCACCTTGACCTTTGACCTCAATTACTGTAAACCAATTTGGCTAGCGACCATCTTTCACCACACTCGTCCCCCCGTCAAATAGTTTGGACTGAAGTTGGTTCGGTCTTCTTGGTTCTTGGGGCTTTTCTCTTTTGTCTTGCTGTCTGAAATCTCGGCGCTTGCGGATGTTCACTTGCTTCTCTGTGTTTACCATTGCGATTGTGTCTGCATAACCCCATCTCAACGTGACCATATATGGTCCCTCCCACTTTGGAAACTGTTTGCCTGACCCTGTCGCACATTCGTAGGTATTTCGCCTCACACTTCCATATGCTGCTTTCTCCCGACCTCCCAGCAGCGTCCCAAGTAGCAGCCTCATCGCTGACAGATCTTGAACGCCACTCAACTGCGAAGAAGCCTCGAAGTCCTGCCCGAAGATCCATATGTCTCCATCAAAAACTGCAGGGCATAGGCTTTCCATTCGTCGGTAGGCAGCGACACCAAATGTAACAACAGAAGACAAGGGCCAGGCAACAGATCGTTTATTATGGAAAATCAACACGTATTTATAGATTTTTATGTACATTATTGTAGGTCAATGTTAGTGGAAAATACAGTCTGTTGATTGGTTGCTTCTCACACAAAGTTAACCTTGCATATCTTGTGGCTGTGTCAGTTCAACTATATGTTAACTGTATTCGCCTGTCCACCTTGACCTTTGACCTCAATTACTGTAAACCAATTTGGCTAGCGACCATCTTTCACCACAGTAGTACATCTCAGAATGGTAAAAGGAATCTGCATTCTTTTTCACCAATGGGGGGCAGTACCACCATTCAAGATCTTCAGTCATATACATCTTTCTGACGCCGACGACGACAACAACAATGAGTGCTAATATAAACACGACACCTACGTGTTTATGGAAGAAGACTTCCATCCGATTGACATTAATTCCCTCCCCCCCCCCAGTAGTATTTTATTCTACGGTGTTATACCTATTTCACAATTGAAGTTGTCATGATAATCTCAGGATGGAAGAATTCCATACTCATTCAAGCGAGCTGTGTATGTGTGTCTCTCTCTATGTTTGTGTGTGTGTGTGTTCGTGACACTTTCCTCTGTATGCTTCACATCCCTTTTTTGCCTAATAGTTTATGCGACACACACACACTGATCTGTTATTACTACTCCAAGTGTGTAAATCACATGAGTCACTTTGACTGAGTTAATTAATTATTAAGCCACAAGAAAATAAGTAAATAAATAAAAACCAAATTAATTATTTGAAAATGAATCTGATGCTCGCTAGTTGCCTGTAATTCAAGCGAGAAGTAGTCGTGTGACCAATGGGGCCTACCACCACCCGGTTGTCGGAGGTAAGGACAAATACTCCTCACCAGCGTTGACACATTAGCTGGTGCCTAGTCAGTCAGTTAATTCCACTAAAATCACGAATTGGTAGAAATTAGTATTCATGGGTGGTGGTTGGCCATTGAGTAGTGTTGAGTCTACAAGCTCGCCTTGGAACCGGAAGGTGTCCTGGGCTCTTACCCTGGCAGTGGGGGTGGGGTGCATACTGACGAAACAGCTGTCCAGTACCAGTACTCCTCGCCATTCGATTCTGTCGACCGAGAGTTACACTCTGGCGATGCTTGGCTGTAATGGGAATGCCGAGGAAATACATTGCGCTACTTACTCTACTCGAACTCATGCAGCCAGGTGAGGGCTTACGGCGAGTTGTCATCTGAAGTGGTGACGACTAGTGGTGTCCGTCAGGGATGCCCGTTATCCCCATTTCTATTCAATTTCGTCATAGATATACTAATGGATTTAACCCTGACTCACTTCAGAGACTCAGGGATTGACTTGTTACTGCCAGGGAATAATCTCGTTGACTTAAAATATACAGATGATATAGTCCTTCTAGACGAGGACACTGACAAAATGCAGAGTCTTCTGAACACCTTGAGCTGAGCAGCAATCTACAAATGTTTGGCATGCGATTCGCTCCCGCTGTCAAATGTGAGATGATGTTACAGGACTGGACTACACTGACTCCTAGTTTAGAAATAGGGAGTGAAGTGGTTGGTGGAGCGTGTTGACTGCTTCACTTATTTGGGAAGCTGCATCAGCCAACGCCAACAGGTTGATCTCTGAGGAAATCTCAGTACGGATACAGAGGGCTAGTTTCGCATATGCCAGTTTACGCCGTCTCTGGCGTAGACGTGATATCCTGGTGGCTGTCGACCAAAGGGCGTGTGTACTGCTCATCAGTCCGCTCCGTCCTCCTTTATGGCTGGCTGTGAGACCTGGCCATTGAGAGTGGAAGACATGAAAAGATTAGCTGTGTTCGATCATAGGTGTCTGCGTTCTATCTCCCGTGTGAAGTGGTATAATAAGGTGAGCAATACTGAGGTTAGGCGTCGAGTTCTAGGTAGGTGGGAGGGGAAATCAATCTACGAGACTGTGAAGTTACACCGATTGAGATGGTTATTACATGTGTTACGTATGTCTAGTCATCACCTTCCTCGACGGGCAATGTTAGCTGACATAGGGTCAGACTGGGAAAGAGCTAGCGGTGGTCAAACCAAAACATGTCTTCATCAGTCAATGAAATCCACAGCAGTTAGTTTAAGCGACGTAGGAAGGTATAGACTGCCAGTCTGGTTGGGGTCCTCGGGACGGTAAAAACTAGCGGTTGGAAACAATTGGTGGTATGGCTTAAAATCGTTCTCCATGAGTAGTGCAGATGCATCCACTGCTTGTGACTTATAATTTCCAATGAAACTATATTGTTCTTCGTTATTACTATTGCTTTGTGTGCTACACGGAGATAGTGTGGCGACTTGAACTGCCGCACATCGGTGCAAAGTAGTTCTACGTCGAAAACAAACAGACAGACACCAGTACACTCCTGATTGGTTTCCAATGGTTCTGCTAGTGATATCAGTCGGTGGTCGTCGATCTTGAGAGCATGAATGTGATGATGGAGGAGTATCACTATTGATGTTGATTCTAAATTTTATGTTGTTGCACTCGGAATGCTTCTATAATTTAATTAATTAATCAATTAATTAATTTTTGTTTGTTTGCTTGTTAATTTTTCAACACAGTCGCATCTACTCCATCTGGACCTAAAAACAATAACCCTAATTTGTTGTCGTTGTTGAATAATAATAATAATAATAATAATACCCCAGCTACTGGATCCGGCTCAACAGCAGCACCAGCGACGACGTCGTCATCATCATCATCGTTGTCTAAATCAGGTGAATCTGTTCGTGAAGAGAATGACAACAGCAGCAGCAGTGGCGGTGGTGTTGTCAGAAAGATATTCTTTTGTTCACTTTGTAATAAGTGTTATAGGTCACGACATAGTTTATTAAGACATAAAACTTCACATCATGGACAGACGGATAGTCAGACAAGCAGTCGGCAAGCAGACTGAGTGATTGATTGGTTGGTTGGTTGGTACATTAACTCATACATCTTTCTTCATTGTATGTTCTATTACTGTCTTATGCACAGTTATGTGTTATACATATAGGTACAGTTTGTACAGACACAAAGACATAAATCCATGCGTTTATTTTCGTTATGTGTTTGTTATATACATATACATGTTTTTTTTAACGATTATAATTGTACATATACAGGAGCCAGAAATTCAGATTTATTCATTATTATTATTATTACTATTATTATTATTATTACTAATACTCGTTGGTTAGATTTTGAATTATAAAATTTGAATAACGCGTTATTGTTATTGTTGTTGTTTTTGATAATCTTGGTTGGCTTCAATTTCGTCTCTTCTATAAAAGAGAGAGAGACAAAGTGGTGGGAAAAAAGTGAATAGTGAAAAACCGATGCTGGTTGAAAAGTCCCTGATCCATTTTCATGGATGCACGTTCTTCCATTTATTTATTCAGATTATGAATGATTTCTTCACAATCTAAAAACATTTAGAAAGAATCGCTAGTAGGCCTACAGAAGAACAGAGCATAGATGACTAGCTTTTGGGACTGTTGTTTTTAATAATATGGTGACCTAATCAAAGATCAGCTCTACGACCTTGAAGTTAATTAAGAGGTCCGGTTGTTGATCATTCTGTAACCAGTAGATGTGAATATGATTGACGTATGAATTCTCGTGAAGCCAGTATTAATTCCAGTGAAGAGAAGGAAGTTTGACTGTGAAGAGGTGGCTAGCAGCCTCGTCGAGTGAAGATAAAACTATTGCCGCTGAAACTTCGAAGCTGAAGCTCGGGACGCAAAGGAAGACAAACAACAAGTGTGGCGCCTTCGTCAGTCAACCAGTGTGTCATCGACGGGGATTTCTTTTTTTAATCTGTGATGTGGTCATGGACCCTACCCACCGAATGTCTTCTTATTCTGTTTATGTTTAGGGATGTAGTGAGCAAATTGCGAAGTTTCTTTTTGTCGCAGATTACTAGTTAACTGTGAAGTCTGTTTCGTTTTGAAACAGTAATGCGTGTTCCGTAGTCGATGGTAGCATGTCTACTTTTGTACTAGGGGGTCTGTGTTCTACTCCATTCTCTGTAGAGAGTGATTGTTCTACTGAAACTGTCGAAACAGTATTCCTGAGGTTTGAATGTGATAATGACGTATATAAGCGATTCAACGTCACGATGGACTTCAAATTATTTTGAGGTAGTTGATGGCAGTCAGTACGGAACAGTGGTGGGGGGTGAGGCGTTGGAGTTTGTGCTTTATACTTACTTGTCAGTGGAGTGTATCTGCAACCTCCTAGAAACTGATGTCCCTTTGAGGGTTCGAACCTGCATCACCCAGTGTTTGCAGTCAGAGACGGTACCCACCGCTGAGGAATTTGGGCTGATGATTGATCTGCTGTTGGACTGTAAGGGATGCATTTGATTAGTCAGAAGGGTTTGAAACAGACGGATTTTGTACATGTTGAGATCATTCATGAAAATTGGCAAGATTTATCTCACATTCGGATGTATGAAATCATTTTGTGTAAGCGTCCTAGTGTGTAGTGAGTGCTACTTATAATCAGATAAAATAAGTAATATACCAGTAAATGAATTCAGAAAAGTAACAATATGTTTCGGACACTGGAAAACGCAATCGAACAACAGAACTGCGAGGAGAACGTTAGAAACACTGTGCATAATCATCCAACCAGCTATCGAATGTGGTGATATTCGACCAATTTGCAAATGATGTACAATTAAAGCATTGAAGATATGGTGAAGCAAATTAAATTTATATCCCTATAAAGCGTTTGTCCTAATAAACATTCCTTCGAGCCTCGTCGGTCTTTTCTTTTTTACACTAGTAGTTCTGTAGGCATATGAATCAGGTTTGACGTGTGTCAGTGTACGGGAGTAGCGGTTTCCATGAAAATAGCTGTCATATATATATATATATATATATCAGTGTGTTCCGTAAATATCTTCAGTGCGTGAATAAACCAGTATTATATGTATGTCATTCAAATGTTTCAGACGACGCTATTTTCTGATGGTACCTTCTACGTTGTCAGAATATTCATAATATTCCAGGGTTGGGATCAGTTGAACGAGTACATGATAAAAATGTGTAGTCACTTGGGTTATTTCCATTTCTGGCATAGCAGTGATAACAAATTTAGATTGCATCACTGTAAAATTCATAGGTCGAAAAGGAGATTGGTCTAGGTGTACATCTACTGTTCCTATGGGAGATGATGTTCTTATGTTGTTATCCCGATAGGTCCTGTTCTTTAGTCATTGTAACTAGTATATTATTTATGGATTTTACATGTCTTGAAGTCATATTTCTCTCTTTGACTTTGAGTAAGTAAAACTGCGATTACGCATGGCATATTCCCTTTTTTGAAGTGGCGCGACCTGCTTCATCCGGTGGGTATTTAGGGTGTTTCCATACATAGGCCAAGGTATACCAGCACGATCTCGTGGCAATTCAATAGCAGTATGCATTTGATTTTTGAATTCGCTGTCTCCTTTAATCCATTAGTTACATTGCTCAGATCAGATATCAGTGCCGCAAGTGTGTAACACAGTTCGAGAATATAACGCCACCGATGATATGTACGCCAGAAAAGGAGTTTTAATGCAGAATTTCGTTTAAAAAGCTTGCAAAATAAATATAACTTGTCAGTAAGCCACCAAAGAAACGGGTCAGGACGCTACAATTCTCTGAGATATTCAATAAAGCTACTCGTGTACATACATGCACCAATAATTAAATTTGTCACAGTGGTAAATATCGTGATGATCAGTTTTATTTTTTTTCTGTGTACGAATGACTGAATGGTTGGGAAGTGTTAGGAATAACAAAGTATTGCGATGACGAGGGAGTGTTGACGTTTGCGCGAATTACCATGTGTATCAATGCAAGCAAGTTCCTACACCCACAACTACCACAGTATTTATTATAAGTAGACCAAAGGCAAATCAAAACAACAGATTGATCATCCAAAGTATGAAATATATTCAGAGGTCAAATTCGCAGTGTGATGTTGAATGCTAAGACTAGCTGGGGACCATGCATGAACGTGACATGGCGACGCGGATGCTTGATTACAAGCCTGCAGCTAAATGAGTTGACCTAAGCGGTGAAGGTTAGCATCCAATGGTGAGTGATGAATACTGTAGGGTATGTATGCAAAACAGATGAATCACGTTTTGTCCAGACTTCGTTTCAGTCGACCAAGCTTTACATAATAAATATGTACATTAACTAGATTTTCTCAAGGATCACCGTGTGCTATAAAAAAGAAAACAGTTATGCAGATGAGTCTACTTTGAAGCCATGATACCAATCTAAGTACCATTAGGAAGGGTGTCCAATTCTATGACAACTAGACCAGCTACAAAGGACCGTTGATTATTAACGTCTCATTGGACGTCTTAGTATGTTATAAGAAAGGCTTCTCGACAATTACCTGATAAAATCTGGCCTGCAAGTGTAGTCGTGCGAAGTGACTCATAATTAACGGACTCACATCTTTCCCTAAATCACTCTTCCAATGTCTAGTGATGATATAGTGTACCACCCACCCACCCAGTTTGAACGAAATCTACTAATACTTAAGTAATCACAGTAATTCCGAGGAAGTAGGCCCATGTATACTAGCACGCCATTAAGAAAATTCAGTTTTATACGTCTACTTTCGGAACTTACTGCATAGATATAACTATGAAACAACATTTATTGCTCCAGACTAGTGAAAACTCTCAAGATGTGCAGCCGAATACCTCGTAAACTATTTTGTAAGGATAAGCTGTAAGCGCACTCATAATGCTTATCAATAACAGTTGACCACCCATTTACACAAGTAGAGACATGTTGTAGAAGCGTCAGTGATTTGTCACATAAGGATTTTCAGCTGTTCCTGTTGCCTTTTCTTTAAGTATTTTATATTCCTTAACCCAAGGTTTGGTGATTCACGATCGCCCAAGGGTGCAAGTAATTTTGATGCAGGTAGCACAGATAATCCCGTTCTTCATTCTCCTCTGTTGAAAAAGACCGAAGGATATCATCGTTGATTTTATTTGGGTTAAAATCTAGTTACGTCCAAATGTTTGGCTTAGGCTTATAGCACCTGTTACGGTAACAAACTTCCAAAAATCATTGGCCTACAGCATTCATCAGTCACCGTTGGATGCTAACCTTCACCACTCAGGTCAACTCGTTAAGATGAAGGCTTGTAATCTATCATCCGCGTCGCCATGTCACGTTCATGCATGGTCCCCAGCTAGTCTTAGCATTCAACATCACACTGCGAATTTGACCTCTGAATATATTTCATATTTTGGATGATTAATCTGTTGTTTTGATTTGCCTTTGGTCTACGTGGAATAAACACTGTGGTAGTTGTGGGTGAAGGAACTTGAATTGGTAGACATGGTAATTCGCGCAAACGCCATTATTCCCTCATCTCTTAGATTCCTATTAGGCAATGCACTCCACCCCGGTTAGACAGTATATTGTGACCTGTCTATAAGTGATACCGACAATGAATTAAGAAACACACTTGGAGTCAGTTAATGTGGATCTGTAGAATGCAAAGCCTCCATGAAGCCGGCGATTATTCCTCTGAAGGTAAGAATACGGATTATAGAACTCCTATAGATGAGTGAAAGGTGACAGAATCACTTATCTCAATAGGCTACAACATATCCTTCTAGAATAAAATGAATCCAAAAATCGGTACAATGTCTTGATTTACCACTGTCCGTTCATATGGCTTTACCCAAAGTGTTTTCGCGTATGTTGAGAGAAGAACTAAAAAAGATATGGTGGCTACTCTTCTGCTTGATGGTGATGAAATACATCGCCTTTGCAAGGCTGCTGATAAGATTTCTCCGTTCAGATCATCTAGTACAGTTAGGCAGTCCAGGTGGATAGGTACTGGATTCAGGCCTCTGACGGACGGAGTACTGGTGGTAAGGGTTAGCGGTGAGCTCTAATGCCATGCGCCAAGATACAATTCTAGGCCATATTCTATTCTTATCATGTGTATATAGGAAAAAGCCCATAGATCATCATGTATAGCTTCAGCTGACTGTGGGGAATGGTGTAGTTGGGCCATATTCATAGTATGGTTCACGTATTCCGGTCGTATGGTGTAACCACTGATCCTTGGATATTAGTGTTAGCAAGTGAGTGGTTAGACACATCAGTCATAGAATATGCACAACTCAACCGACGGT